AAAATATACCGGGCAAATGTATACCGGGCAGTGGCACTTGACCTTAAAAAAACATCAGTGTAAGATATACCGGGCAATGGCACTTAACCAGACCTAGTATGACTAGACCTTTGGTAAATGTCCGAAATATATACTAGGTCTAGTGCCAGTTTTGCTATAGCTTAAATATTTAAAAAAAAATTAAACAAAGCGTTTGAATCAATTTTAAACTAATACCGAAATTATTGCTTTAAAATTTAAGAAAATAAAAAAAAACTGCGCCAGATAAGAGTAATTGAAGTAGTTGCTTTATACAGCGCATGTGCGGGAAAAAATTTTAAAAAAAATTATCCAGGTACATCTAAAAGTGGATGAATATCCCAAGACACCCTGTGGCTGTGTGTGACACAAATTGCCCACTTGACTTTTAGCATTATACATAATGACAATGTAATAGTTGCAACATAATTTATCATTTTGTCATATCCTATAAACAATGCCCAATTATTTACATTGCCCGTGACATATATATATATAGTTCACTACTAAAAAAAATAGACCAACCAGAATAACTTTTGATCTAATGATTGGATCTTCACATTTTAGGACTTAATCTTAATGGCTTGTCATAGGGGTAACCTAAAATATTCTATTTAATTGGTGCAGACGATATTTTAAGTTATGAAATTAGAGACATAGATTCACTTTCTCAGAAAAAACATACATCATTTCAACGAATTTGGATTTCTGAGCCCCAAAATATAGGTGGTAACTGCAATTTGGGTAATATGGTCTGCATAGTTTAGTCAGAAAAGAGGTCCAAAGTTTGTACCCTAATTTTACTTCTTGCGTATTTCGCCATATCTCGAAAACTTTAAGCGAATAAAAAAAAACTTAACACGATTATAAAATTCATTTATTTAAAGATAATCCCATTCAAAAATACATTTTAGTAAATATTTATTACTTGATTAAATAATAGCGAAAATTTTTTGAAATGTAAGGTATACTATTTTTTTGCATTGTTTTAAAGTCGCATACAGTTTTATGCAGCAAAATAAAAAAATGGCGCAAAATTGGTTGCATGGTTCCTGAAAAATCAAATTTTAAATAAACAGCATATTTGTGGTCAGTCCCCTAAATCATTAAGAATGATTGAATTAAGGTTAAGCTCCAACCATTCGATCGAAAGTTACTCGGGATATATATATTTTTTTTTTTGGTACATACATATAACCAAATAATTAAAAGTTTCTATCAATACAACTTAGCAAAACAACTGTTGTTTTGTGCATTCAACAGTGTGAAAAAAATTAGATTTCATACAATAAAATTTGGCAGGTTTGTTAAAAAAAAATTTTTTAGAAATGTAGAGCAATTTTTTTCTATTAAAATGTTCCAGATATATTAAAATTATAGTATTACACAAACATTGTCAAAGTGCTCACATTTAGGAATTAGAAAATGGAAAAGCTCACACTATTTTATTGAGCTTAAAAATTATTGAATTTTAACAAGTTTCAATACTTACATTCCTGTATGTTAAAATTATGAAACATAGCAGGGTATAATACATGTTTTACAAGTTAATGACTTTCATTATTAGAATACCTATATACTATTCATATATTTGCAGAATATTTGAAAAACATTAAAATTTTAAAAATGATATAAAATTTTTTGAAATGTTAAATAAAATATTTGATTTCCTTTAAAAAAAAAATACTTTGTTTATTGAACAGAAACAAAGATGGCAGCGAAATAGTTCAGCTGAGCAAGACTATTTAGCAATTGGCTAAGGTCTGAAGTTTGGATAACTTGCACTTTTAATTGCTTCATTAAGTAGATTTAAATATATTGCTATAACTACAATGAAAAGTTATGACTACATTGTGTTTAAATATTTTCACAAAAAATTTGTCACATAAAAATATTTAATAGTTAAAATCTCTTAGAAAATCTTAACCTGTTAAAATATATTTGTAAACGAAATTCAAAATACCATATTATCATGGGAGTTTTAATTTTGATCTTACTAATTGATCAATTTTTTCATCCATTATCAGTTCTTCTAACGACCATCTTTGATGAGGTTTACCAATGGAGTGAACTAAAATATGCCAATTATTTTTATAGTCTTTATCACCTGACATAAATATATCTTTAACTCCAGACAAAGTTTTTAATAAATCAGAAAGTTCAACATCATGATGTGTGATAATATCTTCCATTCCTTTTGGTATTGAAACTCTTATTGGGTCTCCTTCTTCACAATCATTAACAGATCCTAACTCATTAACCTTTTCGTTCGATGTTAAGGTATATATATTCCGTGTCACAGCTAATGTGGCATAGCTTTGCAGAGCAAGAGATTGCAAATTTAAATTTCCGAATCCATCACAGCTGGCTGATTGTCCGCAAACACCAATATCATCTACAACCTCAGTGGCATAGAACTTCATGAAATCCAGTATTAACTTAGTTGGAGAACAGGATGCCTCGCACTCGCAGTCACCTGTCTTTCGAATTGAGCAACATGTTTTTCCAGATAACGCTCTGAATTTATTGAAGATTCTCTCGAGGCAATGGATGCAAAAGCTTTCTTCTGCAGACATTGTTAACATCGAAGAAGATTTATTGAACCAGTTCCCAATTATATCCCTCAGTATTAAATAACAGTGACACTCATAAGACTGTGTTTGCATAATTCTAGCAAAGCTCTCATTCAGACTTTTATTAGATGCATCAATAAATGAACTTTTAGGTACAATAGGAGATTCTCTAGTTTTAACAACTTTTTCTCTTAAATCACAAAGAATATCTGAAAGAATCCAGGGAAAGCTCAAAACGGATTTGTCAGGGTTTCTATAAGTGACAATGTACCATGCAGATGCCCTTCGATACCTGATGATTTCCTTCCAGTCCCCTCTGAGCGTGCCGATGGTGGCACATTCGCTGTAAAAAGATTCTTCAAATTTGTATCGATAATGTTTAATGGCATCCTTAATATATGTTTTAGCAACTGAAAGTGCATTATCACGATCATAACGGTTTTCATTGTAATCATTCATTCGGCCTATGTAACCAGACAGCACTTCTGCTTCATTTCGCAAACCATACTTTTTCAAAATGTTTTTTATCCGTTTAACATATTCTCGTCGATGAATTTCAGCAGATTCTTCATAATTTTCGTATCCAGGATACACCAAGTCTTCATCGATGGCAATTTCTTGATTGAATATATCCACTTTACTAATGCAAGCCTCTAAAGAGCGTGTAACTCTGTATAGGGGTCCTAAAGCTCTCTTTGATTTATAACTGTTTCTATTGGAGCCTTTTTCCATGAAATCTGGGTACAATTTAGGCTTCTGATTTGGTGTGAGGTATTCTGTTGTGCCAGACTTTGCAAAATCAAGGGCTCTGGGATATTTTTGAGCAATTTCAGAACAAACTTTAGAGAAAATGCCTCTGTTGTGCCAATCAGCCCAAGCAAGATAAGCATTGGCCATCACACCAATATTGTCATTTTGTATATATTTCGATAAAAAGTTAACCATCTCTCTAACCTAAAAAATTTTAGCATTTTAAGTTTTTCATAGATATAAAACAGAAACATTTACTTTTATCTTTTAGAAAACGTTACTAAATAAATAATAAAATTTTTTGGAAAAAAGCATGATTATTTTCTTAAGCCTGACAGTAAGCATTTCTCTTTGAATCTACAAGTTACAAATTTTAGCATTCTTGAAAAGTGGGGGGAAGCTTTATGTCCTTAAAATTTGAGTTCGCCGCGGGCTTAAGGTTGACAACCCAAGTTATGCTAAAAAAAGATTGCTAGGAGCATAGAATAGTCTCCAAAAAGTCTCCTTTTCCTGAAAATAGTTGCTTTTACAGCCTTTTCAGGCAAAAAAAGTAGCCATAGTTGCCTCAGGTCGAAAATAGTTGCAAATAGTCGCATTTTAGTCACCTGTGGCAACCCTGATGATTTTTTCCAGCAGTTATTACAGTAGACTTCCAAATAGTTTTCAAAATCCAAATATTTCTAATATGACATTATTAATGCAAGGGAATTTTTAATCATTAATTTAAGTAATTATACTTTTTAAAGCAACACTACACTTGCGACAGTTTCATTGTAAATTCATGTGGTCTAACCAATCATTTTTCAGCAACAATTGCTAGCTAGTTATTAAAGTCTTGAAAAGTAAAATAGTATTAGGAAAAGTGCATTTAAGTAATCTCTTTTTGACATACCTGATTGTGGCGATTTTCTGTTTTTTTTTTCTTTTCTTTTTTACAGCAGTTATTGCAACAGATTTCCACATAACTTTTTAAATCAATTTAATATGTTATTACACCATGTGAATTTTCACTTTTTGTTTTAAATTTAAAATACAACGTGTTGGAATAAAAATGGCATACTTTAGCTGTTCCACGTGATTCTTTCATAGGATTTGTATTACTAGTGGTGCAACAAGTTAATGAGAAAAACAAAAATATTTAATAGCATTAAAAGCGTAGTCTAAAGTGTTCTAAATCCAACCAATTCCTTTCCTCCTGTAACTATTAACCTAATAAAGTTTTCATAAACTTACAGTAATCGTTCCAACATGTTTCTTTTCTTCATTTGGTGGATAGTTCATTGGCTTACAGTTATCTCGTTGAAATATTAAATCCGGGTGCCAAATGATAACATACTCATCCCCATCCAAATCAGAACCTATAATATTTCAAAAGTATATTAGTATTAAAATTTCAAATGAAATAAAAACTTTAACATTAAACATAATAAATAATAATTAAAAATAATTTTGCTTTGCTTAAAACTAAAATAGAAGACATAAAACTAAATAAGATGTATTAAAGTCAATTGTCCTCTGTTCGTAGTAATAATTTCATTAATGGTCAATATGCCTCATTAAAGACAGAGAGCCCCATATTACCACATCATCCGTTTGCGAGGAATACATTTTTATAATGCAAATTGCAGCCTTCAAGCAGTGTAATGCCGTGACAGCAATAAGTGTTTGGAAGTGGTTGGTGGACACATAAAACATTGATTTCAGACTTTCTTTTGTCTTGTAAATTTAATCGCCTATTTGTACCGTTATCAGTAATATCTGGAATAAATTTCATTAATTCCTGCTATTTCTTCACATCGTTGTCAAACATTAGTGTATTTTGTGTGTTTATTCCAATTCATTTATGCTAAAAGAGGTCAAAATCACAATTAGCAATGAAAAGGCGATACATTTTGCTAGTATAATTAAAGAAACAATTATAACTAGCATTGAATCTAGCTCAGAGCTTCAAAAGGAAATTTGAGCACTCTAACTGTTTGGAAAGTTCTCTAAACTTTTATTGATGGCAAATTATACAAGTCAATTAAGCAAAGAGCTTAACAACATTTAAACACTTTTACTGGTTGGACAGTGGTTGAAATCTTGATTGATGATAAATTATATTAGGTTATAATGTAAGGATAAATTTTCTTTCTAGTTGTAAGGAATAATATTCCCTCAAAGCTGTGTGTATGCCTAGCCATGCTCAATATTGCGAAAAACTGGGCACTAACTTTTGAAATCCACAAATACATTTTTTCATTAATATTAAAAAGGCAATGCTATGAATAATTTATAATTTTTTTTCAAAAAAATGAGAAAACAAGTTTTTAAGATACTTTTAAAATGTATGCTTGCTTCCTATATTTTTTGTATTTTTATATGTTTTCAAATTTGATTTCTAAGAAAAATGTAGCTTATTGTTGAGGTTGTAAAAATTGAATATTCAGGCCTGTTAGGATTATGCTCGATTGTTAAAATTTTTATAAGTATCTTTTTATGGGTAGAGGGGGGAATATTCTAAGTGATTTTTAATTTAGAAAATTTTTTATTAAATAAAAACCAGCTTGTCTTCTTTGTAAAACAATGCATTTTGAAGTGTTTATTTTCTAATAAATTTCTGTTAAAATTATAGAAAAAAAGCTTTTAAGTTGTTTATCAATTAATCATTTTTTGCTTGTTCACTTTTTTCAAAAAAGAAATATGCACAGAGGTTATCTTTTAGCATGCCTTTAATTACTTTCAAAAGCTACAAATTTTTCTCTTATTTCCATAATGAGAGAGAATTGCCATTTTAAATTTACTCATAAAAAAGTACGAGAGGATAATTAAAAATATTTTGAGCATGAAATATAGTTATTACATAATATTACACATTTTGAGAAATATTTATGAAGTAAATGCCCTTTCAAAACTCAAAGTGCCCTTTATAAATTGCCTTTAATTTTGACTAAAAAGTTCCACTTACAAGTATCAGTCTGTAAACTTAGTAATAAATATGTAACATGTATATTGAAAACAACGTCCTTGTCTAATAATCAATCATCTCAGGTTGCATTTAATAACATGAAGAATAATGAAAAGAGAATAATAATTGTTGGAAAAGAGAATAATAATTGTCAATTACAAACCAGCCATCTCATCAGGATGTGGTCGAGGTCCGTGAGCAGGAAAGACAATGCAATCTTTTATGTGACGCAATTCTGGCACATCAACAGCTTCCAGCTTTCTAACATCTCCAGGATGCATACAAGGATTTTTAGTGACCACAATAGTTTCTAAGAAAGCCAAAGAGGCAATTTTAATAAATGAAAATTAAAGAACACATATTTATCTGTCTTGTTTCTTTTAGAAGGGAACCTAATGTTAACAAAAATTAAACTTGAAATTTTACAAAAAATAAAAATTATTTAAATTATATTTTTTATAATAACTACAGAAAATTAAAGAACACATAGTTATCTGTCTTGTTTCTTTTAGAAGGGAACCTAATGTTAACAAAAATGAAAATTGAAATTTTACAAAAAATAAAAGTTATTTAAATTATATTTTTTATAATAACTACAGAGCAGAAATGAACAAACTTCAAAACAGATACCTTAAAAAAAATGTCAGCTTTCCTCGATAGAAAACAAATATGCTACAAAAAAATGGACTTTAGAGTCTCGTAAATATCTATAGTAATAAAATGACAAGTTATCTTTGTGTGGGTGTCTCTTTTTTAACTACAGAACTGTTAGTGAAATTTGGACATCGGCTGCAAGGGAAAATTTTAGGCACCAATCCTTAAATTTGTTCACAATTTTAATTTTCGTTTTTGGTAGAGATATTTAAAAAATGAAATTTTTTTTATCGATCAAGTATTAGCCATTGTTTTTAATTTAAACATTTTATTTTAACAAACATAAGAGCAATGATGTTTTCAAGTTTATATTAAGTATTTGATAAAAAAAGAAGTTAATTGCATGTTCTTTTTAATATTTAATTTATATGTGATGTCATATACATTCAATTAAAAAATTAAACTTGGTAGCATAGTAAACCAATGTCACCAAATTAGTATTTCTGAAGTTAAATGAAACCATATGTTTATTTTGTTAATACTTATGCTTTTAAAAGATGTTTCAATAAAACTAAATAATTTAAACTGAACAATAATTGGAAGAAAAAATATGTACTAAAAATCAAAATAAAAGTTAAAATACTTCAATTCGTCAAGAAGAAATATAAAAAATTGCTGAACAATTATCGATGCCAAAGATGCTTGATTAATTTTGGTAATAGGTACTTATTGAAATAAAAAAAATATAAGGCATGCATTAAAAAGCGAAATTAAAAAAAAGTTACAAATCCCTTTTGAAGAAAATTAAAAAAATTATCATATTTTTGATACCAATGATGCTTAATTAATTTTGGAAATAAGTATTTGTTGAAATAAAAAAGTTGCTATGTAGTAAAGAAGCAAAATTAAAGAAAAAATAGTACTAATTTGGAAAGGAGAAACAAAAACGATGCTTCATTAATTTTGGTAATTGGTTTTAATAGAAATATAAAAAAACAAGCTTCATACTTAAAAGCAAAATAGATTTAGAAATGGTACTAATTAAGCTATATAGAATGCATTGCTTGAGTCAAATTGTAATACAGAAAAATAAGAAATATAGATGGAATAATAAGCAGACAGAAAATAATTCTCCTTCCAAAATGAGTAAAGCCAATTATTAGACATTTATTATTAAAAAAAGTAAGCTTTTTTTTTATTTAGTTTATAGTTATGAAAACAAATATGTTTAAAATCATAAGAAAAAAAATCATGGTAAACAAAAGTTAGAATTAGAAGTTTAAAAAAAAGCAGTAATATGATACATTTTTTTAAGTTAAATGACATGAATAGAAAAATCTATCCAATCGATCATGTTTCTACGTTTCAAAATTAAAGTTAAACTTAATCATAAATTATTCATGTTACAAAAAAATATTAACTATCAGTCAGGAAATATTTATCCAGTTGAAATGAGTAAAACCAAAGAATAATGAAGCATTGAGCGTATAAGCAAAATAAGAAGGGCTCATGAAATATGATTGCTTAGTCTCCTCTAGCGAGAAAACTAAGTTGAGAATTGAGATTTAAATTGAAAGAAATTTTTTAAATTTATTTTAACAAATATATAATATATAAGGCAACCTGAAAGCTATGTTCAAAAGTTGTATAAAAGTTTTGATTAAATTCCAACTTTGTATTGCCACTAGGGAAAATATTTCAAATAAACCTTAGATACTGGAAGGTATGGAGTCTTAACAGTTTTGATCTAAAAACCTCATGATTTTAAAGCAACGTCTAAATTTAAGGGCATGACCACACAAAAAATAGGTTTAAAAGACAATGTGATTTTGCAACTACATTGGCACAAATCTAAAGTGTGCAACAAAGAGTTCTTATTCAAATGTGCAATTTGAAATAATTGTAGGATGACAAAATTTATCAGGATTTTTAAAAAAAAGCTATGTAAAACTCTGCAACAGTAATTGCTGAAAAACCATATGGATTTAAGATGAAATCAATGCAAAATTGAGCCCGTCTAAATATTATCACGTAAATGCATGATTTGAAATTACTGTGAAAAGCTCATATTTATTTAACAAAAATAGAAAAACTTATGAAGTTAACTTTTATTTTAACAAAAAAAATAAGAAAAAGATATTTTTATTCATAGAAATGGCATAATTTTTGTGCAAAGTTCGTGATTTGGAAATCTTTTATCAAAATTCTGCGGTCTCAGAAGTTTCGGCAAAGTTGCATTCCAATTTGAAATTTTTGAAAAGAAAAAAAACTCTGCTATAAGAGAACTTATTACGCGTCATCAAGAATTCTCAGATAATATACATATATAACTTTAAAAAAATAACACTTAGGAATTACTCAGAGATTGTTATTTTGATATATTTAAAAAATATTCTATTATGTTGTAATCGAAAATTTTTACATTAATATTTAACATTATATACCATAATATTATATTATGCTGTAGTAAGTTATTCATTCATTTGTATAATATGCATTCCATTTGGTTTTCATACATGGACATATTCAACAAAATTTCAAATTTGGCAGAAAATAGGAAAAGAAAAACTAGAAGTGCGGGAGGTGTTAATATTTTCACTAGCTGCCAAATTTTTTAGATTTTTGGAGCCCTTAAAATAAGCATTTTTTTAATAAGTCGTTGATACAAACACATCGGCTTGATATATGTAACATAATTGCTGTACAAAAATGGAAATTTAAAATTTTATAAAAATAAAGTAGTTAAATCAATATTTTTTAAATTAATAACCATAACTTTTTATTTAGATTGCTTTGCACTTTGAAGAGCTGAAGCTATGGATGAAAAATCTATCAAAAAAGTAATGTCTGTCTTTTTAAAATTAACCATAAGCACCAAAACAACATAATGAAATAAAAAATGCCCTTATTACAAGTTTCAAATTTATCTATGCACAGTAAATCAATCAATATATGATTTCAACTACATTTTTAATCACTTTCTCGCTAACTGCATATTTCCCAATTTAATTTTATGTGATTTCTAAGTGCTTCAGCATCCATGGTAGTTACAAGAGAAAAAAAAGCACTTATTAAATATATATAAACATTAAAGTACACAATAGATTTTGTTATTTTTTTATAATTATTATTTCATTTAAAATTTTATATTTAACAATACATTCTTATAAAACTTTGTATAAATCCAGAACAAAAAATAATTTAAGTTAAAATTATTTTCTTAAAAAGATGACTAATTTTAATTCCTTAATTTCAGTTAGTGGATTAATCAATTTTAATAAAATTTCAAAAATTTAAAACTACAACTGATTTACACAAACAATGTAATTGCTGTTTATATTTCTTAGAAAAAATAATAATTAATCAGATAGGTCTACAGCTTAAAATTTCTGACAATCAATGTATTAATTGGTATTAGATTTTTTGTTTTATATTGAAGTGATAATGAGATTAAGATAAAAGATTTAGCTTTATATAAAATATTTGTAATGGTAATTTTGAGAATTAAGTCCTATTTACCAGTCAGCACATGAGTAGGTGAGGTTTGATTACCAATTTCCTCAGAATATTGTACAAATACTTCACCATAATTTAGAGTACCAGTTTCATCAATAACTCCCAACATATTTCTCCCAAACTTAGGTGGAATAAAAATTCTAGCTTTTGAACGCAGTTGATCTAAAAAAAAAAGTAAATAAATAATAAAAATAATTATTTTTACAGAAGAAGAAAGCTTAATCATTATTCTACTTTTAAAATACTATGTAATACTTATACTTTTAAAATACTTATGTAAATATAAATACTTATGTAATTATCAACTTTAAGTAGCCTTCTAATATCAATTTTTTTGAATAAACTATCTTCATTAATAATGAATTTAACAGATTAAAACTTAAGTTAATAATAATTATTTAATTAACAAACTTTAAGTTAATTAATGTTAGTTAACTTATTTATTATGATAAAGTAATAAAAACTTAATCAAACAAAAGTAATAACTAGTTAAAATTTAGTTAATTTAATTAAGTAATAAAATAGAATGATTTTTAAGCAACAGAAAAAAGTACTGGCAAATTTGTAACTTTAAATTAAATTAAATTATAAATGGAACAAATATAGAATACTAAAAATCACTATTTCACCATATTAAGTTAAACTAAAAACTTCTAAAGTTTATTTAACTATTTTATATATTGATCAATTTTATTTATCTTTGAAATTAAAAATAACTCATCACAAATTTTTTTGCAAAATTACACTTTTAGCAAAGTTAGTTTTATTGTATTACACTGCAAACTAGGTTAAAAAATGGTTTAATTATTTTTTCCCAATTAAAGGGATCAATAGCAAATACAAAATTAATCGCCAAATAAAAGGATTTTTAATTTTGATGTCACCCAGAATATCATAAACTGCCCTAACAATATCTCTGCAAGGTATTTAAATAGAAGCAATTAATTCAGTTCTAAAGAATTATAAGTTACAGAAAATTTGTCAATTATATAAAAAAAATTAAAAACATAAATTTTTTTACTCCTAAAAAACACTCACAGCTAAGACATATACAAGCAAGAGAACTTATTACTATTAGGTAGTAGCTATTTGCACCACCTTTACATTAGTGCATGCACAGTTTAGCACTTTAATGTGCATTCATTATGCTTACACAATTATGGGTGATGCAAATAGACAGTCAAGACAGGAGATGTGAGTTGCATCAGCTTTTATGTTAGGGGTTATTACATAAGTTGAACAGATAATTTGGACCCAGGTAATAGTATGCAATTAACAAATTTCTAAACAAAGGTAGTCTCTTCTTTTTACACTGTCAGTATAAGGGAGTTAGGGAACAAACAATAAATTTAAAATAAAGCTGATTCTAAGAATTATCAAAAAGTATTTATTCTGATCTACTCACATATTTCACTACATATTATCAAATATTCAGGTTTCACTATAAAGGTGTAATAAAATTCGCATTAAAATTCACAACTGGAATTTTAGTTCTAAATTTCGATTAAAGAATACTAGAATTAATATTTTAAGTTTTTTCCTTAAGCAAACATGAGAACCAGAAAAATTACTCTGCTTATTTTTTATAATGAGTTATAAAAAATAATATTTCCCTTTTAGTATATAACTTAAGAGATTATCAGGTTATGTTTGAAAGATTTCCGCTAACAGAAATTAGTTAAGCACAACAATTTCGTTAAGTAGTTGCTAAAACTGCATAGCATTTTTGACTTGCGTGGCCTGACTGACATTATATACATATGTATACACACATGCATATACATACAGTGTGAGTCAAAATTGCTTTTTACAGAATAAGTGAAAGATAGTACCCACCCAGGAGAGTGATAATTACAATGCAACATAAGATGGCATTTCACTTTGAAAGGCAGCTAAGACTGGAATTAAAATTTCATCATGAACTTACAACAGAAACATGAAGTCATAGTTAAGTCAAAGTCGTACTTAGAACTGAGGTCAGGGCAGTACCTACCCAGATGAGCAAAAAACATAAGGCAATATTCAACTATGAGAGGCAGAAAAAAGTAAAATTAAAATTACGGAACCAATTTACAACAGTTTTGGAAAAGTTAATGAATATTAAAAGTTGCAAAATCCGATTTATTAATCAGAGTAAAATCACAGCTACACAAAAAAGACAGCTATGAGTGCCATAGTACAGATTACACTAGTGAAGATTCTTAGTGTATGTATTAAAAGATGTTTTCTTGACCAATTAAAATGAAAATTGCATTTTTAAAGATTGACAGATTAATAATATAAGTCTTCAATATTTCTAGTTCTAATACGGAATAGTTTTGCATTATGAAATCTGACTTAATTTTTTAAAATAATTAAAAGCAAAGTAAGGGAATTAAAATAAAGGGATATCAAACTAGTTGTATAATTAAAAAACAGGTTTCCAAAATAAAATTCAGGAAAATTAGAATTATAACACATCCTGATTCATCATTACTGATCAAAATTCGTTGGACTCAAAAAATACTTTAAACGTCATTGGCACTACATCACACCAATTTAATTTGTTACAAAACATTAAGACAATAAAACGTACAGACACTATCAAAATCTTATGTCAGTAAAAATTTTGATAATAATTATAATTCCTTAAAAAAAATGCTTAATAAGTTTTATTATTGATTTATTTAATTTAAATTCTTAGCAAATTTCTTGTGTAGTTTTCCAGAGTGCGGTACAAGATATTCTGTTTCAATTTTTTATTTATTTATTTGCCAGTTATATTTAGAATTATATTCTAAATTTAGTCCTATATTAAGAAAAGGTGAAAAAGTCATTTTTGACTAATTTTTTTAAGGTTAATTTGCAGACATGATGAATTAAAAAAAAAATTTTTAATCATTCTTCATAAAATTTGTTAGCTTTTATCACTTGAAAGTCTTGAGTCACTCATTCTATTTTCATAATTTAAAAAAGTTATCGAGTGGTTTTTTATATTTAATTAAAAGTTAGTTATAAAACTATAATCAAGAAAAACATTAACAAGATTAATATTATTGATCTTACTGAATTTACAATGATATATGTAAAGGATTAAGAAAACCTTAATAAATTCATACTACAAATGTAAATAAGTTAAGGGCTCCTATTAAATTTTCATTAAAAGCTCTAATTTGCTTCCTATTACATTTCTCTAATGAAAAAAACAAGAAAAATTGTCAATAATTTTGAAATGTAAAAACAATGAATATTAGAGCTAATCATTTCTGTCACAAGTAAATTATTATATGCTCCTTACATTCATGATATTTAACAAATCTGAGATTATTTAATTTCTTATTTCAATTTTTTTTAATCAAATGATTAAGAAATTAACTAAAGCTTTTTTGAATGACAAATCTGAATAACATTTTTTATGCATTTGCAAAATGTTAAAATAGTGAAAAACCCCTCACTTCAGACTTTTTTTAAAATCTTGCCTGTAAATATTGAGTTGTCTTGCTAAAATAAACTATAGAGCACTGAAAATTTTAAAAGTAATAAGAAAAAAAATAATTTTAAGTACAATGAATTTTTTTTAAAAAATATGCAGTTAGTGGATGGTCTCACAAATAAAAATCTTATGATTAAAAATCCTAAATTTTATTTTGATTAAAATTTAATTAATAAAAGGGAAATAGAAATTTTGAAGGGGTGAAGTTTAGTGATTCTTGACTGCTCCTGATCCACATAAAATTTGTAATTAGTGAATGATTTTCATCAAGGATATATATATGTAATATTATAATATACATATATGTATACACCAATATATACAGGGTGATTCTAAAAAGATGGGCAAAATTTTAGGAAGTGATAGTACTCACCCAAGCAAAACAATTTTTATCGAAGAATGCATGGTCGAAAACAAAATGCAAAACCGCTAGAGGGCGTCAATGTTTATGTTTTTATATGAGACAAAAACACACAAAGAACGATGAAGTTAAGTTATAAAAGCAAATTTAATGGCATGTGATTACAATAAGTGTTCAAAACAGTGGCCGGCATCAGCCCTGCACGCAGTGCAACGGCGAAGTACAGGCAAACACACCAGAAATATCACGAACTTTCCCTGCAACCGCCAAAAGCTTGGCGACAAGTAACGCAGCGCAGTAACTCGCAACAGGAATGGAGCTTTCACGTTTGCATCAAACAACTTTCCAAATGCGACTGCATCTTTGCGTTTTGTTTTCAACTATGCATGCTTTGATGAAAATTGTTTGCTTGGGTGTGTACTATCACTTCCTAAAATTTTGCCCATCTTTTTAGAATCACCCTGTATATGTAATAGAACAGAGTAAGAACGTCATAGGCCTGCCAGTGACTAAGATAATGGCGTTTTACCAGCGATAAAATCAGAGAAATAAAATTATCTTTGCTATTTTTGAAAGAAAATTAAGCAATTTTAGGTTAGTCCTCATGATCAGCAAAATTTTGCTGAAATCAAATCAATTTTGCCTAAATCAAAGTCATAATGCTTTGGACAGAAAAAAAAACACTACATGCCTGAGTGTCGAAGCATGCATCAAATCGCTATTTTGCAATATGATATGTCACTAAGCCCTACATAAATGTTTTACATTGCATAAGTTTTAAATAAAAATAACTTTGTGTCTGAACGCAATACTCACCAATAGCAACTGTATATACAGAAAGTAAAAGGCGGCGAAAAAAAGGTTCTTTCGTAAGACAGATGCCAGAATTTAACAGCTTCTTATAAGGAAAATCTAGACCTGTTCTGTTAGCTAGTAACATACGACCTTTTCTCTCGTAAATGAGAGAATCGGTCAAGTCCATGACCATTTTTTTCTGAAGCTTTAGAAAAACATTAGCTGAAATTCCAAGCTGCTCCAGAAGTGAAATTAAAGGTCGGTTCAGGAAAAGAGCTCCTAATAATGAGAGGAAAAGATTTTTGAAACAATTTTATTGACATTTTTCTAACATATTTTCGAAGTAAATATTTCTTGAAATATGCAATTTTATTATTGTGGCAGGATTATTAAGCTGTTATAGTCTAGTAAAAATAGTTTAAAAATTATACATTGTTAAAATGATTTTTAAAATATATATAAATCTGTAAATTGTACTTAAAAAATATCTCCCTAAGAAATTATCCTAATTGTAAATAATAATAATTTAAAAAAACATGATTTTAAAATTTATATAGGCCAGAGGGGTGTTAAGGTTCCATTGATGAATAAATTCAAAAGCTTTGATCAACTGAAGTTGCTGATCAAAATTCATAGTTTTGTTTACTTTGGAGGTTTTTGTTTACACCTCTTTTGGTAGTTGCACAGTGATTTGTCAGGGAGCATTGCTGTCACAATGTATGTCTCAAGTAAGTAATTAATATATATATTTTTATTTTCAAGTGCTTTTATAGCGAATTTTAAAAATTAAGTTGTTGGAATCAATGTTATGTAAATTAGATAGCAGGATACATACAGCTGGGTATCTGTATCTATCACACCCTTCCCTCCTCACTTTAATAATTGGTGCAGTGTTATGCACTGAGATAAGCAGATGTGAACAGATGAATCGCCAAGATTATTGAACCTGAATACTTCAGCCCCTCTTTGAATCACTTTTGATGCTTTCTGCAAGTTGATAGTAACACAACAGGCGATGTGCTGAATTATGTCTGAGGAGTTATAGAATTATGTTGAAATGCTAGCCAATAAACAGTTTATACTTCTTTTTCAACAGTAAAATGTTCTTTTAGTACGTGCCTAAAGTAGCTAATGTGCTTTCTCTACAGCCTACTGTACTTAGTTGCTGGGCTTCTTCCACAACTAACTGTACTTATTACATGAGCTTATAGTACAGGGTGTCTCACAATACTACAATTACAAATATCGAATCATTTTGTTGTACAGATATTAACCCCTTCCTTCTCCCTCCAGTGAAAATGACGGGGTGAGGTTTCGCCCTCTATTTCTCGTTCCAATGATATTCCTGGGCTGGGGTGTTCAGTAGTAGCACACCAATAAGAATAAAATTAATTCATTTCTTTTGCCCAGAAAACATTTTATTTCTCATTTTACACACCAGATGGCTGTACCAGGATACTTTTAAAGTAATTGTAGATAGTTAGTTTATTTTAAACTAAATGTCAGCACAAATCAAATACTTGTATAAAAAAATGGCACTTTTATGACCGTTTTCTTGAAAATTAACCGATCGTTAAGGGTTTAATTAAAAAATGATAAATATGATGAACACTATAAGTGGAAGTTTACCTTAGAAATATTTTATTCAAATCAACCACCATCTTTATCGCTTAATAAAGATTATATTTTATGGAATTGACCGATAGCCGCACAAATCATTTTACGAGGCAATTTGTCCCATTCAAGAAATTCCATTCCATTTGTGAAAAGGGTGAAATTCTTCAATCAATATAACTTCATAGTTTTTCGACTCACGTTCTCTTCTGCAGCAATTTCAATAGCAGAGCACTGTGGATTTCTTCATATCTTTTCACAAATTGTTTTAATGTGCTTTTTTGTATGAACTGAGAGTGAACGACCAGACCAAGGTCGATCTTTACAGCTATTAGTATTCAATAATCGATTTATAGTTCTATATATACATGTTCTATTAAACCCAAGATACTTCAATTGCTTCAAGATTCTGATTCCACTCCCTGCATCTGAATGACCCCTGACCAGAGGGTCAAGGACAGGGGAAGAGTAGTTCCCCTATCATGGGGGAGGAAAGAGTGAGAAGCAAAGAACTCTTTTGTGAGAAAAGATTTTCAGTATGGACTTTATGCGATAGAGTATAGGTGAAGAAGGGAGCAATGGGACTCCAGATATAAAAGTTGAACTTTGCTTTTATTTGGTTTAGCATATGTATATTTGTAATTTTGAGCATCGATGATCCAAAATCTAAAATAAATATGTATACATGATAAGTCCTCTTCATCATTCTGAAAATTTCTAAAAGACGAACCGAAAACGAAACCATCTCACAAAGGATGGATATCACAGATTCTACCTGCAGAAAATCAGTGATCGAAAAGCTGTTTAACCATCAACCTTTATGATTCCAACTTTAAATGTATTTTATATGTTTTGCTTTAAATAAAAATCGCCTGCACCAATAGAAAGCGCCAACAAATACTAGTTAGAAATTGTTTTAACAAACGATTAAAATTAATTCCTTTTTTTTTTTTTAGTGTTACCGTATTTAGTGGTCACCATGAAGATGGCAGGGCTAAAGAGAATAGAAGGGCTAGTTCATTCCGCTCTTAGAGCTGAAGCTACGATTTCCTTCCTCATGACGTCCCGCTGCACACAGATCTCGGAGATCACAATCAAAGATATTATGAAAACTTTGTATCATTCTCTCTGTAAAAATAACTTCGACTTTTTCTTGATCTTAGCTTCCAAACTTTATGCAATTAACATATTATTTCCTTTCAAAAAAAAAGTTTTAAAAAATTTTATTGGCCAAAATATTAAATTAAATATCATTTTAAACTATTAAAAATATTTTACTAGTTGTCGCAAATGATGCTATAAATACCTTGTTTTAAAATTTTCAGTTTTAACTTTCATCATTAAAAAAAAATTAATGCATATATCGACACTTTTTTAGATACATATTGTTCGATAACAATAACTTGTAAAGTTAGGTTAAATTTAGAGTCTTCATTTTAAAATATGCTGTTAATGGCAATTTGTTTATACTTAATCATTAGGAAACAACAACCTTAAACGCTAATTATTCTAACAAAATAATAATTTAGGTTCATAAAAATATTAGAAATTTTACAATTGGTTATAGATATTTAAATTTAAAAGAATATAATTATATTAAAAAAATAATTATATTATAACTAAAAAAAATAATAAATATTTAGAATAACTACATTAAAAACTAGGAGAATATTTACTATTAATTATCTAGACTTTTAATTCAAGTTTTTATTTTCTTTGACTTAATTTATTCATTTTTGAATTTTTTAGTCTGCCTTTTTTTTTTGAAGTAGCTGGGCGGTTTTAATTTAGACGACTAATTCCGATAAAAGTTCTGAAATGCAAATTAGGCGCATTGCTGTTTTATTCACTGCGGGATATTGTCCCTCTAATTCACTTATAAATTCTTTGATGATGTTCCATGCACACTTTGAAAAGTGTTCTGAAATTCCTGACACACTTCCATCGATGCTGCTGATGGAACAATTAGTCCTAGCTTAGATAAGAGAGCACTTGATAGAGTAGGGGTCCGTCTAGTTTTTTCTGAGAGGTAACCTATTTTGTGAAAATTTAGACATAATTTGTGAAAAATTAAAAATTATATTAAAAAATCAAAACAAAAATATGTTAAAAATATGGATTTATAGTTTTTTAAGGGATGCAAAAATAAAATTTTAAGAAAAAGTATTTTGTGAAACTACTGTTTTTCCTAAAGTTGAATTTGTGAAGGTATCGCTAAATGGTAGTAAATTCGGCCTGGATAGACCCCTGTTGAGTTAGAGCAATTTTAAAATCATTCTAATTGGCAATCCAAGCAAACGATTTCTTATATCATCTTCATAATCTTGTTTTAAGAAATGCTTACTGTATATTCGTTCATATTTAATATTAACTGGCTCATTTCGTTTGCAGTGTTGAAGCCATTATTTATATAGTTGTTCATTTACTTTAAAGGAACACATGGAAAATTACATTTTATCCTTTTGTGTTTTGATCAGAATTTTTGTAAGTTGCAATCGCACAAACTCAGTGTTTTCATCATAGAAAAAAAATGGGTAAGAATTTCTCACCCTTTCTGAAAAACAGGGTGAGATTTCAAAAAGTTAAGTAAGATTTCTAAAAACTAAAAAAACACAAAAACTCTTTAAAAAAATTATTTCTTTAATTATAATAAATTTTTAACGTCTTCTATTTTTTAAAGCATTGAATATTTTTGGTGCATCATCATAGAAGATTTTGCCTTTACAAGGTATTTGTCCATCTTACATAAGTGCATAAAAAATTTGAACATCTTACATTAAGAAACCTTACCTACGGTGAACACGTGATTGTAGAGAAATGTGCTCTGAAAGGGGTTCCGTGGTTGTGTTCTGTTGTTCGAAAAGGTTCTAAACAATACTGGTAAATAGGGAAGCTAGATAATGGGGCAGATGATGAAAATAATGAAAGATCTAGGAAGAAAAGTGAAACGGATTTTTTTCTAAATGGCGTAATTCGAAGCTTTTTCCAAAATGCAAGAAATTCGCGAATTTTGAAATCGATTTACAGAATGCACGAATTTCTCGCGGTAATCATTTTTTAATGCGAGAAAAGAAAAAAATATGCGAGATTCTCGCGCTGTAGTGAAAACACTGAAACTGGCATTTCATAAATAATTTTAAATTTTTGTAATTCATTTCACAAAACTGAGAAAAATCATTATAGAAAACAAAGAATGTCTTGGAATATGTCACAAAAAGAAATGCTCCAATATTAGTTAAAGCTAGTTAGACTGAATGCTTCATTCTTGAAGTAAAAGAACGCAAGCTATGCGCCACCGTGACATCAGAGGCATAAATCGGAGGCTTGCCGCGGCGAGTGTTTCTTCAAAGGAGTGAACTAGCCCTTCTATTTTCTTTAGCCCTGTGAAGATGGTGTGCAACTATGTTTTTAGGTCATGTTCTAGTCCTTTTTACTAAAACATTTTAGATTGAATCTTCAGTAAAATTTTGCTTTTAATTTGTGTGTAGAACCTAATTGTATGCAAGTCTGGACAGCTTTTAATTTGTCAAAGAAAAGTTTACTAATCATCATTTTGAACACATTAAGAATTTTTTTTAATAACGTTTGAATTAACATCTTCATTTTGGATCATATTATAAGAGAATTTTGATATATTTCAATTATTTCATAATCATTTACTTATTTTTAAATTAAAAAAAAAAAAACTTTGTTAACATTTGCACTATGAAGAAGGAATAGTGTGAGGGTTAAGTGATAAAATTTGTTATTTCATTGTCACTTTAGTAAATAAAAGCAAGTGAACTCAAAATGGAACTTAGTTCAGAACAATTATTTTATATAATTTTGTTAATTTGTATGCACTTTTTAAATAGTCTTTTATTTTATTTCATATTTTTTAAAAGAAGGTTTGTTTTGTCAACACTTGCTTCTGGACACCCACAAAATTATTTTTTTTAATCACTGCTTATGAAAAAGCAAGTTGAGTCAAAATAAAAATGTTTCTTTAATTATCTTAAACCATATACATTAATAAATTATATTTAAAATCTGAAAAATAATTCAACTAAGTATGTGTAAGTATGTTTCAAATACAAATGACCTCAATAAAAATTTATTTAGTAGGAAAATTATCAATTAAATGGAAATTAGTCTTTTATTCCATTAGGTGGTTTGGCAATTTATTATTAAATACCTATGTCCCATTGAAAATGTCACTGTTATAATTTTCTTTTTGAATTACATCACTGCATGATCAAACCAAACCTGACCCATGTGGCAGAATTTTTTTGGGCTCTCTGCAATATACCACTTTAATACTACTATCTAACTGTGAGATACTTTTAAAAATAACAAATATACATGATACTAATTTAAAGTAACAAAAGCATCAACTTCAAGAAGAAAAAAAGAAACTTTTCGGATTAAATAAAATAATTTTTTTAATTAAGTATGTAATATTTTTTTAATTATAATATTATGGATTATATTCTCGCATTTTGTAGGAGGAAAACACACTAATTACTTCCTTTTTTGGATATTGTAAATCATCATTTCATTAAAAAAAATAATAAAAAATCTTGAAATCTGTAGCAGTAAATTAGACTCTTCAAAAAAGGGTAACTAAATACTAAATGTGTGTTTTCATTTCGAGATTCAGTAGTTGTAATAAATAATATATTAAATATATCGGATTTCAAAACTATGTGGGAACCAATTGTAATAACTGCATTAAAAAAATTACGGCGAACTTTTCAGCAGTAAAGAAAACCAAATTTTTTACTTCATTAATCTTTATTTTTCATTGTTCTCAAATGAGAATAGAAAATGCAAATTTTCCTCACTCCAATGTACTAGAAAGTCATCTTTTGAATATAATTTTGAAGAAAAGATAAAATCTTTCAAATAAATCAGCGAAAAAAAAAAAAAAAACTTTTTACTTTAGAAAAATCTTTCTGCAAGAACTCGGTAACGTTCTGCGACAAAGTCGCTACGTTTCTGCCACGGGGAACCTGACTATCGATTTATTTTAAAACTCATTTTTTCTTCCTATTTAAAAAAAAAACATAGTAACTTAGCCTCACAAGTGGTCCTAATCAGCACACAAATTGTAGCTGAAGAATTGTTTTACATAAGAATGTGGTAGCTCAGGCATGTATATTAAAACATATACCATATTTGGTATACATTTTTAAAATCTGGTACAACACTAAAATATGTGTATCAGAGCATAAGATAATTTAAAACAACAAATAAAATGCATACTTGGAGCACTTATCTTCACAATTTCCAGCATATTTGAACTTTCACAAAAGAACTTTTCCATACTTGGACGTGTTGCAAGTTTACGTCCTTCCAAATTTGGATTTTCAGTAACCATTCCTTTGCATCCCTTGAATCGTATTTGATAAGCAGATGGGTTGTAAATAGGTTCATCCAAAATATTTAGTGGATCTTTATCACGAAATGCTTTCCGAATCTTAAAAGGATGAGCAAGAAAGAGACATTGTTGTAAAACAATTTTAAAAATGTTAAAAGGGAGAAAAAGATATTACATAGGTGTTTATAAATAAACTAAATCTTATATAGTTGTTTATATTAACAGGAGTGCAAGCTGCGCCAAAAAATACAAAAATTGGTGACTATTTTGTTTGTGATAACTAAAATTTTAAATAAACAGTCTAATTTTAAAAATACAGACGTCAAGATATAAAGCTAGAAATACATACCTAACTATCATAAATAAGCTTAGGTTGTTAAGAATGTGTTATTTAACTCGAAAAGAAATAAAATTGAGTAGTTTTATTACCACTCTTTACGTTTTTAAGCGCAGCTTGCACCACTGTATTAAGGAAAAATGCAATATAGGTATGTATTGAAATTAATTCACAATGCTAGGGATTTAATTTTCAATCTCGTATCAGCTTTTAAAATTTCCTTAATTTAAAAACAGAATATGTGCGCAACAGCAACATTATAAAATAGATTGAAATAGCAAAATGTAAAACTGGATTTCAAAATCTTTATTATGAGCAATTAATGATTAATTGCTTTCTACACAGCTACATGCAAACTACACAGTTACATGCATACCTTACAATCACATACTACACAGTTACATGCAAAAAAAAATTTAAACATTACTAAGGAGATATTTACCTATATAATAAGTTTACATACCCTATTACTGAAATTTAACTAAAACCAGTAAACTAAAAGAATTTATATGCATTTTAATAAGATTGAATAATGAAAGTTTTAACATGGAACATAAGAACAAAATAAAAAATAAAGGTAACCAAAATTGAAAGCAAAGCTTACCTCTTTAGCCAGTTTAGTTGAAATCATACCAACTCCATCAGAAAAAGTATATTTGTCATTTTTTATGTCTTGAATGCTTATTACATCCTCATCCATTAACTTTATTTGAACAGCTTCTTCAGAAGTAGAAAAACATTGACCTAAGCGAGCCACATATTTTGCGACATTTTCTATGTGAGAAAAATTTCCCATCCACTTTCTGATGTTTTCAGCAGTGTTTCCATTGCAATCCTTAGCAAATAAATACAAACCATGTTCTCTAAGTTGACTATTCGATGCAGCTAGAACATTATAGTGTCTAGGTCCAATTCTAACACCTTCAATCAGCCGTCTTGTGAATCGTTCCATGAACTTGTCTTTTTGAGTGTGATACTGAACAGCAAAAGTTAGTTTTGAAAAATCATCATCTTGAATAGAAACACGTAATATATTTTCTGAACCAAATTCTCGGATAACACGATTGTCAAAATGCTCCATTGGTTGAAGGCATATTATACGCGAGGGCATCATAATAAGACGGCGCACGAGACACATTCCATCAGGTAAATCTATTTTTGACGGATTTCGTCGATAATGTTCATAAAGTTTTCTAAAAGCTTTTTCAAACACAAAAACATCTTGCCTGGTAATAATGTCACTGATGTGATACAGGGTATTGACAAGAGCATCTTTGTGCTTAACAGTCTCTTGTATTTCCTTCTTTATAGATTCCCAGTGATCTTTTACAGATCTTTCATGAGTTATATATTTAAGTATTACTTGATCTTTAACTTCCAAAGATCTTCCAAACATAACCTCCCAAGCATACTGACAGTTAAATTTAATATCAGAAGCAAAATTTTTATCAGACACATCTTGAAAAAACTGTTGATCAAAAGGAAAGATATCAAATTCAGATAGTAATTTAACTCTAGGTGGTAATTTAACTCTTTGAATACACGAAAAGTAAAAAGAAGTGTTAGAAGTACAACGTTGGATAAGCCGCACAACTATACCAAAAGCTCTGGTTTTAGGAATGGCTACTTTAAAAACTGGACACCTTCCAACCTTATCGATTTCACAGAGGGAATTATTGCAAGAACAACCAAAAGTCAATGATCGTTCCCATTTTTTCTGCTGGTATTCTTGATCACTTGCTAAGAACTGTTGCCGGTTGCCACTTTTAATTTCATCAACTTCCTTGTCATCTTTATCGTTCTTTTTTTCTTTATAAATTAAGGGAATATGTTTCATAACAAAATACAATTGTAGGGACTCACTGTCTGGGTCGTCATTTATAATTACACGCATCAATGCATGATACACAATTCGGAACTTATATGTTAAAGACTTACTTTGACACCTTTTTTCATGGCATGGACACAAATAGATAATGAAGTATCGTTGATTATGAAAAAAAGAGCCACTCAACTCTTTTTCAATGTTCTTATTTTCAAACTGATAATGTTGCATAAATGTTTGTGTATTGGGAGTTGTACCAAAAGCTATTTCTTTAACATCTACATCACCATGGACCTGCTTTCCCTTATTTTTAAGCACAGAACGATCTGCAAATCGCAACCATAAGTTGGACAGCTCATTCTTTTCACTGTCACACCAGTTTTTCACAATGTTTTTGAACTGATCACCACAATGGAAGTCAGGTTTCTCCTTATATTCTAATATGACTTCCAACTCTGTTAAACCTGCTTTATATATAAGATCAACATCAATGTTTTTTGCTTGGCGGCCAATGTCAACAGTGCATGTTAAATTTTTTTCTGAATTATATCCTTCAAAAAATTTTTTAGCCTCAGACCTCACAAAAGTTAAATCATCATCCACTTTGGGAAAAACTATCAATAGTTTTAAAAGTGTCGCCATTTTAAAACTGAGAACTCTGTCCAATTATAATTGTTTTTATCATTACAAGAATCCTAAAAATTAAAAAAAAAACATTTAAGTAATAATTGAAAAAAGATAGAAAAAAAACTAGTTAACTTTTAAAATGCAATAATTTAACAGTGTATAATTATCCTTTTCAGTACATACTTTTGAACTATACTCTACAACATTCAACAACTTCTTTTATTTGGATCATTTAAATTTTGGGGAAAAAAATTAAAACAAAAAATAATTAATATATGGTCAGACATGGAAAAACTTGGAAAAAGAAAATTTTTATGTTTTACAAAATATATGCAGGTATCAAAACAATATTATTTAACTTCAGATAGATGCAACATAACACTGCTTTGCTTGAAAACATTCGACTTCTGAATTCTACCTACAAATATTGGAGTCTATGTCATATAAGATAAAATAATATTCAATCAAACATTAAAACTTTGATGTATACTTTTAGATTGGCACATCATATTATTAATAAGGATTTATTCATGAAAGAAAACAAAGTAAAATATTCCACAAAATATTTTTTTTCACCAATGCAATTTCATGTATCTAATTTTTCAACTAATTAGTATCACTAATTAAGTTAAAAACAACAATTTAAACATTTTAACATTTAAAATATCAGTTCTCTATTTTTATATGGCAAAGATAGCATGATGTTTCTGATTTTTTCTCAAAGAAATTTATAATTCTAATATGATACATAACTCATATTTTAAATGATAAAATGAAGGTTGTGCATACGCTGTAAATACTAAATAATAAGGATATAAATAATTGGCCGGGAATTTTAAATAAACTAATTCCAATTATATTTTAGGTTTAATAATTTCAAATTTAGTGCTTTCAATATAAAATTTTTACTTTCTTTTCTCTTTTATAATTTAAAGAATCTGAAGACTGAATTTTTAAGCCATTTAGTTTGTTCTTGCTTCTGCGTTGACAACAACATTTTGAGGATTTATGTTAACTTTTTATTTTATGTAAGTGCCTTTGTTGCATTACAGAGCAGAATTGCTGCGATTAGTGTCCGACAGAGCAATTTGTCTTTGCTCTGTGAGTTAACGTAAGAACACATAACATTCACTGTCACAGCGTGATAAAAGGCACGGGCATAGGGGCAGTTGCCACGGGCCAACCATCAGAGGGGGCTCCTAAATCGAATAGAAAGTTTATTTTGGGTTTCCTTCTTTAATGAACTTTTTTTTAAAAACAAAATATCAGTACAGTGTATGAACACAAAAATCTATATTTCGTAAATCCACAACTTTCTAGTGCGGAATTAAGCTAAATGTTCGCAATTACGATGGAGAAATTTGGCCAATCAAAAGTTCATATTTTTACATAAAGCAAAATGCAATATGTTTACAAAAATACAGTCTTCTGATTGACTTAAGTGAGCCATCGTAATTGCAAAAATTTAACTGAATTCCCCCCTAATATCAGCAATGTGACCTAATGTCAGTAATGTCATAAGAAAATTTTGCAGCTAGATGACAAAATTAACAATCAGAAATCTGGATTCGGCAAAATGGACATTGTCAGAAAATCAGAAAAATGAACAGAACAATACAGTAGGGAACCGATTATCCGGAACGGTCGGGACCATCGCTATTTCGGATTACTGATTTTTCCGGTTTTCTGAATCGCTACAAAAAGCCGTTTTTTTATTGTTAAACCCAACTAAAAAAAAATAAAAAATTTGGAAATAATCTTAAAAATAAGAAAAAATGCTGAAGTAATACACTAATGATTATTTCCAAATGATGGTAAGGTAAACATCGTTAAAAAAAGGAAAGAAAAATCGTAAAATCCTATGAGGAAAAAAAAAACATTTTTTTAAAAATGGCGAGAAAATTTATCGAATTTCGTTCCAGTTTTTTTGGTTTTCCGGTTTTCTGATTTCCGGATAACGGGTTCTGTACTGTATTTCGTCTGACCATTGGAGGGCGGTACTTTATAGCTATTTTAGGTTCAAGTCAATTTCTTGTTATACAATGTATAATGAGGTGAAAAATTTAAATATCTCCATAAAGTTCAATTCGTCATTACTGAAGTAGAGAAGCAGAGGGAGGGCTCACAAAGAAGTTTTAGCCCCAGGTCCTAATTAGGCTACGTTGAGCCCTGTTCACTGTTCCTGATCATTTTATAAAATCTTTAAGAGAAAAAATGTAAAGATAGCAATATTGCTTGCAAATATAGTTTTGCAAGTAAACAAAGCTTTGTAAATGATGGAAAATCATTGCAAGTCTTGCATGTTAAACAATGAAGGTAAGACTATATTTTTAATATTGTTTTCATAACAGGAAGTAGGTAGTTAATTTAGAATTTGTGTTGTTTTAAAATAATTATGTAATGAAATAGTTGTCAAGTTGATCATAATTTTTTGATTCCTAATTACGACTTGCATAAGAATTTGAAAACTTTAAAAAATAAATAATTAAATAATAAAAAAAGTTTGAGTAATTTATTTTGCAAATTTGTAATAAATCTTAAGAATTTTAGAAGATACCGGTTTCAGGGATCTGTCCAGACATTTTGTGAAAGGTCCGTTTTTGTAAAATTGTGAAAAAATTACTCGTAATTTGTGAATATAAAATAAACGTTAAGTCACATTCTTTCAACCAGGGTCCGCTTTTGTGAATTTGTGCAAAAAAGGTCCGTTATTGCAAAAAAACTTTTTCAAGGAGTTTTTAAATTATAAAGACATGAAAGATTATGCTTAACACTGTAAAATTATAGTTAAAAAAATTAAATTTTAAAAAATAAACAGCAATTGCAGCTACCAAATTAGCGATGCAACATACAAATATTTGGTATTTAGCCTATACAGCTGAACGCAGAATATTCATTTCGAACAAATAAAGGAAGAGTTTATTCAATTAACAAAACAATAATGAAGATAAACAAATTTGTGAAGGGTCCGATTAAAGATAAATTATTTTGTAAAGGGTACGTTTTTAAGTTAAAATATTTTGTGAAGGGTCCGTTGTTACAGTGTTTTCATCATAGACAAAAAATTAGTGAGAATTTCTCACCCTTTCTTAAAAACAGGGTGAGATTTCAAAAAGTTAAGTGAGATTTCTATAAACTAAAAAAACACAAAAACTCTTGAAAAAAAATTATTTCTTTAATTATAATACATTTTTAACGTCTTCTATTTTTTAAAGCATTGAATATTTTTGGTGAATCATAGAGGATTTTGCCTTTACAAGGTATTTGTCCATTTTACATTAGCACATAAAAAATTTGAACGTCTCACATGAAGAAACCTTACCCACTGTAAACACGTGGTTGCAGAGAAATGTGTTCTGAAAGGGGTTCCGTGGTTGTGTTCTGTTGTTCGAAAAGGTTCTGAACAATACTGGTAAATAGGGAAGCTAGATAACGGGGCAGTTGTTGAAAATAATGAAAGATTCCGGAAGAAAAGTGAAACAGATTTTATTCTAAATGGCGTAATTCGAAGCTTTTACCAAAATGCGAGAAATTCGCGAATTTTGAAATTGATTTATAGAATGCGCGAATTTCTCGCGGTAATCATTTTTTGATGCGAGAAAAGAAAAAAATATGCGAGATTCCCGCGTTCTCGCGCTGTAGTGAAAACACTGTGTTATGAAAAATTATTTTGTGAAGGGTCCGTTAACGGACCCAAATTTCTTCTAAACAGACCCCTGGGTTTGTAGGTATGATATGTGCATTGATAAAATTTTATTACATAATAATGCTTAAAATTTTTTACAGTAGTACTTACTAATACTAGCACTAGTAGTACTAACTGTGTAATGAAAACAGTTGAAAGATTTAAAATTTGGTTAATTTATATTTTTTGAGAAATTACGGATTTTAATTCTTTATGTGATACAAAACAAAAATTGTTTTTCGTGTAAAATTATTGTAATTTTGGTAAAGTCTCTAATGCTTACACACTAAGCTTCATTTTCTCGTTATTTTTCTAATATTTTTTGTACTTATTTTGTTTTTTGCATCTTTTATCCGCAATACCACAAACCAAAGACTAAATCTGCTCAATGTTTTGCCAGTGTTCTCCCTAAGCATTTTTAGAGGGTGGGGGCATGACAATTCCCTTTTAATCTCTATAAATGCACCCTTATTACCCTTTTTGTAAAAATAAGCCACTATTCAATAAAAACACCACTTTCTTTATTTTATTTTCTCAGGAAAAGGTTGTTTTCCAAACTACTATCTATTTTAATGAAAAATTCATTTCGTTTTTATTAGTTATTGATAGTTATTTAACTAAAATTTTTAATTTCTTTCCTTTAATAAGATTTTTCTTTTGATGTCTAATTATATAGTTAAAATTGCATGATGTTTTTGGCCCCAGAGATATTCACATCTCTTATTTGGGGTATATCTTATTATATTAATGAAGTTTTTAGTGATTTTAAATTTTACCATTTTTTTTTCTTTTTAATTAACACCTTTTACTTAAATATGCACCTTTAAATGATTATTTTCTCAAAACTTTTAGTTTAAAATATATAAAAAAAGCTGTAAAGTTGTTAATTAATTAATCCTTTTTAGTGTTCTTTTATTTTTGATGAAAATTTATTCACTGAGATTACCTTTTAGCTTGCTTTTAATTATTTTTCAAACTTCAAATTTTCTTGTTTTAATGATAATTATAAAGAATTACTTTGTGAAATACACACATAAAATAGTATAAGAGGGTAATTTAAAAATTGAGGATCAAACTAAATAAATTACAAATTAAAATGAGGATTAAATTCAATAATATTACAAATTATAATGAGGATCAGATTCAATAATATTACAAATTTTGATAAATTTTAACGGTGGTAAGGGAGTACCCTTTTCCGTGACAAAGCACTCTGTCCTTTTTTATTCCAAAGGAGAGCTCTGGTTCTGCTTTTTCTTTCTTAAAAAGCCCATTAAAGAATTTACATATAACACATAGTTCTTTTTTTTTAATAACAGCATTCTCAAAATAGTAACTAATAGTTATCAAATTTCAAACATTAATACGAAAAGAAGCTTTCAAAGATCTAAAAAATTTATGCTTTTGTTTGTCTCATTTGCATATACAATTACATGTTTGTGCAAATTTAATTTCTAGATAAAACATAGTACAGTAGGGAACCCGTTATCCGGAAATCAGAAAACCGGAATACCAAAAAACTGGAACGAAATTTTATACATTTTCCCGCCATTTTTAAAAATAAAAAAAATTTTCCTCATAAGATTTTAGGATTTTTCTTTCTTTTATGAAAGATCTTTACCATACCATCATTTTAGAAATAATCATTACTGTATTACTTCATCGTTTTTTTTTCTTTTTAAGATTATTTCCAAATATTTTTTTTAGTTGGGTTTAACAATAAAAAAAAGGGCTTTTTGTAGCGATTCTGAAAACCGGAAAAATCAGTTATCCGGAATAGTGATGGTCTGGATCGTTCCGGATAATCGATTCCCTACTGTATATGTGAATATTATATATGTATAATCTAATATGTGAAAAGAGTGACTATTTTTTGTGATGTTATCTAATATCATGTTTTACTTGGGTACTTATTATTTAACTTAGATTTTGTTTTCTTTCTCACTAATTCGAAATATTTTTAAATTTTTACTTACAACTGGCATAATAGGCAGACCAAAATAACAGACTTTAGCAAAGTCCTGTAAGCTTAAAAACATGGCAACTTATCTTACTAATTGTTTTTTATACCTTATTAAATTATTTAAATTCATTATTTTTTATTAAAAATAGACGTGAACAAATCATATATTGCCTATTTTATTATATCATTTGATTTAAATCATCGAATTCACTGGGTAATTATGTGTCATTTATCTAAAGATAAATAACTAGTCTTAAACAAAACAGTAACAAGTAACAGTTTTGCCATAATGAGAAGGTCAAATATAACAAAGTTAATACCTTTGTTGCACTTGTCAAAAAGATTTCACAAGCTTATGTCACTAAAACACTATAATGAACATCTCAAATAATACAAAATAAGTTATTAAATTAAACTGGTTACTCAGAGCAAACTGGATATAAATCAGTTGGAACATCTTCTTCAGCACGACAGCCCCTTACAGGCCTTGGCTGCCTCAACCACGCGTAGCCTCCAACGCCTCCTATACATGGCGACTTTTTTCCAGTTGTTAATCTTTATTACTTTGAGACCTTTAGTAGTGTCATCCAGCCATCTAGTTGGAGGTCTTCCTCTGGCCCGAGATCCAGAAGGATTTTTAAAGGTGGCGATTCGTACTGCATTGTTTTCTGGACCTCTCCAGATATGGCCAAGCCATCTTAATCAGTTGGAACATAGATTTCTTTATTTTCCCTTTTTCTAAAAAACACTAACTCACAATCTTTTCTAAGCAAAATATTTCATCAATCAGATAAAAAGTTTCAGTCTGGATTTAATTAATAATTTAAACAATTTGATTTAATATATTATTATCCTAGCTTTTTAAAAATAAATCAGTTGCCACAAACAAAACAGTAACATAATATTGCTGGAGGCCAGGTCAGCAAAAGTACTTAAAAAAGTACTGCATTGTTTTCTGGACCTCTCCAGACATGGCTAAGCCATCTTAATCAGTTGGAACATAGATTTCTTTATTTTCCCTTTCTCTAAAAAACACTAACTCACAATCTTTTCTAAGCAAAATATTTCATCAATCAGATAAAAAGTTTCTGTCTGGATTTAATTAATAATTTAAACAATTTGATTTAATATATTATTATCCTAGCTTTTTAAAGATAAATCAGTTGCCACAAACAAAACAGTAACATAATATTGCTGGAGGCCAGGTCAGCAAAAGTACTTCAAAAAGTACTGCATTGTTTTCTGGACCTCTCCAGATATGGCCAAGCCATCTTAATCAGTTGGAACATAGATTTCTTTATTTTCCCTTTCTCTAAAAAACACTAACTCACAATCTTTTCTAAGCAAAATATTTCATCAATCAGATAAAAAGTTTCAATCTGGATTTAATTAATAATTTAAACAATTTGATTTAATATATTATTATCCTAGCTTTTTAAAGATAAATCAGTTGCCACAAACAAAACAGTAACATAATATTGCTGGAGGCCAGGTCAGCAAAAGTACCTAAAAAAGTACTGCATTGTTTTCTGGACCTCTCCAGATATGGCCAAGCCATCTTAATCAGTTGGAACATAGATTTCTTTATTTTCCCTTTCTCTAAAAAACACTAAATCACAATCTTTTCTAAGCAAAATATTTCATCAATCAGATAAAAAGTTTCAGTCTGGATTTAATTAATAATTTAAACAATTTGATTTAATATATTATTCTAGCTTTTTAAAGATAAATCAGTGCCACAAACAAAACAATAACATAATATTGCTGGAGGCCAGGTCAGCAAAAGTACTTAAAAAAGTACTGCATTGTTTTCTGGACCTCTCCAGATATGGCCAAGCCCTCTTAATCAGTTGGAACATAGATTTCTTTATTTTCCCTTTTTCTAAAAAACACTAACTCACAATCTTCTCAAAGCAAAATATTTCATCAATCAGATAAAAAAATTTTGTCTGGATTTAATTAATAATTTAAACAATTTGATTTAATATATTATTCTAGCTTTTTAAAGATAAATCAGTGCTACAAACAAAACAGTAACATAATATTGCTGGAGGCCAGGTCAGCAAAAGTACTTAAGCTTAGTTACAATCGTTAACAATATTTCACTACCTGATGTCTTAAAAAATCTACCATAAATGGCTGGATTTACATAAAAGTTATTGGATTGAATCAGTTAGTCAACACAAAAATATATTTGTGCTGACGAATTAGGAATAAATCTAGGATTCTTTCACATCAATTTTAGCACAGCTGATGTATTCATTGCAGTAGAATAAACTGTAACATCAAATGTATATTGATGTCTCTTAAAAAATTAATACATAATAAATATAGAAAGATAGTTGGAAATTTTAACACATTTTATTAAGATAATAGCAATTTACCTTCAAATTCAGCACAACTAATAAAGTATTTTTGTTAAATAAATCCTTATATAAAATGGATATGGTCTTACTTTAATCAGATATTTCTTTATGTTTAAAAGGAAAAGAGAATTCTACATTTTAACTATGGCAAAACGGTGATAATAAATAAGGGAAAAATGAGGCAATATAAATAAGGGGGGAATAAAGCACTTTAGTAGTGATGTTTGAAAAATGCTCGAAACATTATTTCTACAAGGGTAAAATATTCCTTCAGTAAAGCACATCACTTTTACAAATAAATGAAATATATTAAATAAAGCTTCTTTAACTTAAGAGAAATTAAATTGAAATATCTCAACAAACTACGAAAATTACAAATTGTTGCGACTACAACCAAATATTTTTATTTTAAAGTGTTCCAGTGTATTAAAATTAATGAATAAACACTTGTCAGACTTTATGCATAGCAGCATATATTACTGCAATGAAACATGAAATAAAAAATAATAATTTATAAATTAAAAGCTAATTGAAAAGAAGCTTTTTCATATATTTAACACAAAATATAAAATTTGTGTTACTCAAACTCGTCTAATTGCTTCCAAACTTACATTGCAGTAGGTAATTAAGAAATGTCATTATAAACATAAACACGAACTTATATTCTATTTCTAAAGGGGATTTTCCAAACTGTGACGATTAGAACTGTGACCAGAAACTGTAACTTTTTTAGTTTCGGTTTGCAAGTTCGCGCGTGTGATGAAAAAAGAAAAGGATAAAGAGGCATACGTTTTGGTGGTAAACTCGTCAATTTACTGAGATTACCTGTTTTTTCCAATTAAATGTGAGTCAATAAACACAGAAATGGGCAGCTGAAAGCTTACTCACATAGTAAACAACAGGCTTAAAGCAAACTTCAGTTGCCAAGTCAAGAAAATATATTAAATTTAAAACACTTATAAATAAAATTAAATACATCAGAAATTAAATGAAGCTGAAATTAAGAATAGCTTTTGTGTTATTATTATGTTTTGGAATGATAGTTGTTTTTGCTTTTTATTTCAGCTATATTGAAACTCCTTTACAAGTTAGTTTCACTGTATTTTAAAATTTTTGTTAATTTAATCCATATTCATGTTTTTTCTTGTTTCGAAGTGCTTAACTCTTAAGCTTCAAGCATGATTGAGATTTTGACAAAGTAATAACCAAAGTAGAAACGGGGTTTGGTTCCTTCTTTTCTATTGTAATTTCCTTTTCATAAAGTTACAAACAAAAATTTTATGCTTTAACATTGTTTAAAATATTGACAACATTTCGGTATCAGTACCTGTCCTAAAATAATCTCCAAGTTTGGCTGACTCAAGAGCTATTGCAAGCGAGAAACAACTTTAAAAAAATTAAATAATAATAGAAAGAAATCATCTTAAAACCTTCCCATGGTTAAACTACTGTACATTGTGTTTTACTTTTGTTTGAATTTTATGTCCTCGCAATTGTAGATAGTATGAACAGGTACGGGTACGAAAATATCCTCATAATTGTTCAAAGTTATTTCTTTATTGGTATCTGTTTTTGCTCCATTACAACTGTTAAAAGTTTTTGAATTAGCAGAAATTAAATATAAATAAAGTCCGGAGTGGCTACATTATGCCTGTCAAATTTGCACCTTCTGAAATTTTTTTTTGTTTGTTTCTTGTATCCCATTGCCCAGAAGTTGCCCAAACTTGGCCGTTATTTTGGCCTAGGTTCCAATACGGAAATCTTCTCAAATGTTCAAAACCTTAACACTTCATGTAAACCAGAGTTCATGATTTTTTTTATTTAAATCGGTGTTTTTTGATTTAAATCAGATTTTTTTTATTCAAATGCACTGTAAGAATTTTAGTTTATGATTCAAAAAACTTTATAAATGTTTAATCACTATTAAATTAATATTAAAACTATATTATAGCAATAATTTTAGGAACTCTGACTTAGTAAAATAATTTTTCAATATAATACATAGCTTTGAATGCATAACAACCATTTTGATACAAATAGCTATGTAATGGAAATTTAAAGACTAGATGAAATAGATAATTTAAAGAATACTTCAGGGGTCTGTCTAGGTTTTTCTGAGAGTTACCTAGTTTGTGAAAATTTAGACATAATTTATGAAAATTAAAAATTATTAAAAAATCAACTCAAAAATATGGATTTATCGTTTCTTATGAGACTTAAAAATAAAATTTTAAGAAAAAGTATTTTGTGAAATTATTCTACTTTTTTTCCTAAAGTTGAATTTGTGAAGGTACCGCTAAACGGTAGTAAATTTGGCTTGGACAGACCCCTGTACTTTAACTATTTAAACAAGGTTTCAATTAGCAAACCATAATTTTAATTTAAAAGTTTGATTTCTTTTTTTTTTTTTCCTCTTGATTTTTAAGATGACAAAATAAATGTAATCATTGATCAAAAAATAAATAAATATTTAATCTATATATTTTTATATTAAAGTATTCATTTTCAATCCAATATCAAAATAGATAAGTTAAGCTAAAAAGATTTTTAAAAAAATCTATGTACTCATTGGAATTTTTTTTCACAAAATTTCTTTATAGGAAATCTGATAATGTCAAAGATACTGTAAACATATTATGAGAAAAAAAGACCAGTTAATAACCCTACTGCTTCAAATAGACTTTGAAAGGGAAGAATGACACTATATCAGAAAAAAATATCTGAATTCATCAGCCTTTTTTTTTCTCTTCCTTTTTTTGGCATATTAGGGTAATTTCTTTTTAATATAACCTCAAGCTTCAAAAATATACATTTTCCACCAATTAAATATGGTGTAGATTTTAATTCCATGCTTTTTCAATCAAGAGGTAGAATTTTAATTAACATTATTTGCATTTTTTTTTAAATTCATGTTTATTAATTACTTTCTACAGCTATGCAAGTCTATATTAAGACAGTATTGAATGTTTTCTTTAATCTGTACTTTCAATCTCAAGGATCAAAAGATTTTTAAAAATATAATTTCAAATGTGTTGGAGTTTAACACAGACCAAGAAAGAAAGTAATTTCATTAACTAAAATTAATTAATGCAGCAATTTATTTAAAATAAATTTTAAAACTAAGAAAAAAAAATAATAAAAGTATCAATAATTTAATACACTGATTTTTAATGTTTGAAATTAATATATATATATATAAAAAAATAAGTTGGTTTAAATCAATGATTTTTTTTTTTTTTTAAATCCTTTGATTTAAATCAAGCTGAATCAACAAACCCTGATGTAAACAACAAAAGAATATAATATTTAGAATGGAATGTACAATAGCTTATGTTATAGGACCTATTTATGCCTTTATCAATTGGCAGGTACTACAATTATCAGTGTTTCTAAAAAAACTATAGGTAATATTTCATAATATCTTTTGCTAAAAGTCACTAGAAATATAACATTGTTCTCAAATTGTCAATTTTTTGAAATATTTAGCATTTTTACCTCTGTTATTATATCTGTTTTATCAACTATTTAGTAAATGACATTTTATTTGTATTGAACTCTGTTTTATATAGGATTATCTTTTTTGCTCCTCTGGCACTTAGTTTTAGAGGGAAGAAATTAAAATAAACTAATTGCAAGAGTTCTCAAAAAATTAAACATGGAAAATAAATTCCTACCATCTGCTAAATTTCTATAAGATGATATTTTTTTTAAAAATTTCTTAGCTTTAATTTAGATTTATGTAATTTTTTTTTGTCTGATATATCTAATTATTGGTTAATTATAATACATATACCCACTGTTCTCTGTGCTTACAACGCTTATTGATTATCATTACTATATGCACTTCATCTTTTCTTATAAAGCTTACTTTATAAGAAAAAAACAAAAGACAACATTACTTTTTCATAGTATGCCCAATTAAAGTCATATATTTGATCAGATGAACAAAAAATATTTAAATGTAAACTAACTAGTTTCAATTTTAAAATAAAATGAAATGACAAGTATAAATATATAATTTTTATTATACTTCAAATTTACAATATTTTTGCATTCATATGACTTTAAGTATTTGTAACTTATGCATCTGGTTTTAAATTTTAACATTTTATTTTGTAGAATCACAACAACCCTGAAACTTTAAAACAAGAACTTATCAAGACAACAATACCATCGCTTCTAAATAAAGATAGGCGGTCTAGACTAAGCAATAAGAATTTTACTATTCCCAGTGTAGCATCAGTTGCTGGGATTAAAATTAATAATAAATTACAGACTCTGAATTTTTCTGCCAATAGTGGTAAACAAGAGTACATACACATTTTGAAGTATGTTAAAGAAAATCTTCAAAGTGATTTTAAAATGAAAGTATCGCCCTGGAGTCTTGCTGCTGGATGGGTTAAGTCTCGTGAAATACATTCTGAAAATACACCTGAGTTAGGGTATGTATTGAATTCTATGGTTTTCAACAAGATCGACCATGCAGGTATTGGATACAAAGGAACGCAACTAAAGATGATGTTAAAACTGGAAGGTGGTCAAGAAGTTATATTTAAACCGCAGAAGTAATTTTTATTTTTAAATTGTCCTTGTTTTTTTAACATTCTTTTTTGTTTGGTTTCTGTGCTTAAATGTTATATTTGTTTTTGTTTTTTTTTATCGTGTTTTGGTTTTAAGTTTGAATGCTCTATATATATATGTAGTCTGTTTATATATATATATATATATATATATATATATTATTCCATTTGTAGTTTGACAGTATATAGNGAATATATATATATATATATACACACATACAGGGTATGTCCAGGACAAATTTACTATCGTTTAGTGGTACTTTCACAAATTTTACTTTAAGAAAAATGGTAGTTTCACAAAATACTTTTTTTAAAAAGCAAATTTTAAGATTTTCCTCCATGCATTTTAAAACTTTATAGTACAATTGTCTTTTTTTTATGAGTTAAGCAGTAGTAAATGATTGCATGCAATAAATTTATGTTTGAATAGTATATATCTTTTTCTCATTACTAAAAATCTCCATCTTTATTTATACTTATAGATATTTAATTTTTGCAACTACTCGGTATTAACCGAGGGCAATGTCAAAACTTGTCGGAGTATGTTAATATTAAAATCTGTTCTTTTATCTCAGTATACTGTTATCTCAATATGCTAAATGTGTGCTGAGTACTTGGTAAAATACTAATTAAAATGATATTGTGTACATGTAGTGTTTATTTTTTAATTTCCACAAATTATATCTTAATTTTCATTATCTTAATTAATAGGTACCTTTTAAAATAACCTAGACAGACCCCTGATATAAATATACGTGTTTCATCTTATTGTTTTACATTTTATTTTTAATTAAATTTTGATATTTAATGGATTTGCAGGGTTGCCACTCCACAGGGAGAACAGGGAAAACTTGGAAAATACAGGGAATTTAAAAATCACCTAAAATTACAGGGAAAATGCAGAGACTTTTGATTTTTTCTTTACAAACTGGAAAAATACAGGGAATTTCGTTTCTTACTTTTGTCTTTAAAAAAATGGTGACCACTCAAAACGTAATCTATGGGATATTTAACCATGATATTTCAGCTATACTAAACTACTATAGCATTATTTAAGTATGTTCAGCTATTTTTCCAGCAATAAAAACTAATAAATATAGTTAGCCCAATATAACTCATACAAGAGCTCAGTAATTGTTGTTTCCTCTTAATATGTACAGGGAAAATAATAATATGTACAGGGTATGTACAATAATATGTGTATAATATGTACAGGGAAAACACAAGGAATTTTTTTTTCCAGATTTGAGTGGCAACCCTGATTTGTTACTTGGCCGATTCCATGAAAAATAGTTAAATGTCATATCTGTTATCATTTTTAAAATTTTAACAAAAAAAATTTTTCTCTATTAAAACTGAATAAAAAAGTTTTAATTTCATGAAGAAAAAAAAACAATTAAGAACTTTGTTTAAAAATAATTATATTTTTTATGAACAGTTATGACAAGCTAACTGTCTTAAGCTCCCATATATGTCACAATTCCTTGTCACACTAGTAAATATTTTTTAAAAAAGGTACTTCCTTTAAATTTTATTATTTCATGTCTTTGAAATTTCTGGACCTAAATTATGCACCAATTAAAAGCAATTGGTTATATTGTTAAGAGACTCTGTATTTGTGTCCGTTTTTTGTTTTATCTGTCACATCATATTTTTATTTTATTAATTAAATTTTTTTGAATTAGGTATTTTTATTAAGAGATGCATAAGTTGATGCTCTGCAAAATGTGTGAAAATATCTTAATATTTGTTAGCTAAAATTGGGCAAAAAATATAGTCATGTGTGTTACCATGGAATTGACCACTACCCTTTAACTGATTAAAGGAGAAATTTATACAAATTTTCCATGCCAAGCGCATACGAGAAAGCAAACCTAGTTAGGAGTTGGTAAACTGATTATACCCTGAACCGAGAATAGCTTTGGCAGTATTAAGGGGAATTTCTACATTTGCTTCTTTTATCGTTTTACTTATTGCTATTTTAATTTGTTATAAAATACTCTGTCTCTTTTATCAATGTATTTAATTGTTATGTTAAATTAAAGTTTTAAATTAATGATGAGGCAGAATTTTAGAAATTTATATTAGTTAATATAAATTTCTGAAATATTAGTTATAATGGAATGTCTATATTAGTTATAGTAGTTATAATAGAATTTCAGAAAACCAACATATAAAGATAGTAAAACTCAGAATTTGAAACATCTAACTAAAATAATGGAATAAATAATGTGTCTTAATTCAGTATATTTTAATCAATTCTCATTTTTTCCGTCTATTAGAATTTATTTCGTTTTTATTCTTTTTGTTCTTTATTATCTTTCGATTTCAAATTGAGTTATTTAACCTAACCATAATATTTTTTTTCCCTGTTACTTGCTTTAAAATCTTCTAAACGGTTGTATTAATTTTAATATAATTAAAGCGATATATTGTCTCAAAATATAAATGATGACAAGTTGTGCATTTTTATTTGTTTTTGATTTCGCTATCTAAATAGTCTAGCATTTTGTTTTAATTTAGGTATAACAGGGAATATGTAGTTACTGGATCTCCATATGCAGGAGCTGATCGCCATAATGGAGAAATAGCAGCATTTCATCTTAATCGGTATAAATATAATATGTAAAAAATTATATATTTATCTGTTTAGTTAAATCTATGATTAATTGTACCATATGTAGATAGTTTTTTCTTCTCTATAAATAAGTAATATGTTTTTTTTAAAGTATTATTTATTTTTTATGAAAGGATATCAAACCTGTATTATTTTAGAAAATATAAATGATGACAGGAATTAAGTAATTATTCTTTTAAGAAGAGTTGTTTCTTTTCATTCACTGTTTGATTGCATATTGCTTTCGAATTTAAATATTGTAACTATATTAATTGAATTGTACTTGCCAAACTCAGATTATATGATTAATACTTATTGTATGAAACATGGAAAAATACAAAAATGTTTGCGCTTTCTTCAGCGCATGTCTGATTTTAATATTGTTTAAAATGGATTTTTAATCTGTTTATAAGTTCATTCTTAGTCTACCAGTAAACACACCTGTATGATTTGCACAAACATATAATCTGATTTTAATATTGTTTAAAATGGATTTTTAATCTGTTTATAAGTTCATTCTTAGTCTACCAGTAAACACACCTGTATGATTTGCACAAACACCGTTCAAAGGAAATTTGTCACCATTGGGAATTTTTTTTTTACTATTACTAAAAAAGGAAAAAAAATCTGCTTCTTTGAAAAAAATTTCTAATTTTTCTAATCTTTTTCTAATTCCTGGAAAAAAAAGGTTTCATTCGTTCTCTTTTTCCTGCCAACATAAACAGGATTTGAAATTCCCTAATTTAAAAGTTACGCTTTGCAATTTACCTTCTCACAATTTAAAACTCGTACATCGCTATTCCTATTCACAGAGTATAAAAAATCCAATATTGTGATTTGTAAAACCCAATGGTGCGATTCGTATTTACGCATTTTTAAAATTCAATATTCCGATTCCTTATCAAGCGTTTGTAATATCAAACATTGTTTGTCGTATTATATCTATACATGATTTAAAAACTACACATTGCTATTCGTATTCACGGCATCTGAAAATTATGCATGTGATTCGTATTTATGTGATTTAAAAATTCAATATCACAATTTGTATTTTTGTACTTTTAAAATCCATTATAGCGTGATTCATGTGATTTTATAATCTGCAATAACGCAATTCTTGTAAGAAGTAATGTTTTTTTTTCTTTTTTGAATTTGTTGATATAAAGGGGTGATATTCTTTGTTAGTAAGTATATTAATTTAACATGTTAGTTTAAAAAATTATGTTAAATATGAAACATATATGGTTTATAAATTGATATTGAATTTTTGTAATTAAAATTTCCAGAGTTTTTCATTTTTTCACAATCACCCCTGGTTTTCTTATCATATTTCATGTTCCTATTTTATTTTTTTCAACGAGTTAGCAGCTATCTAAGGGTATTGGATGATAGGGGTTTTATTGTATATTGAAAATTTTAATGTTAAATGTTGATTAATTAAACTAATTGGTAATAATGTAAATAAATAGTAATAATGTAATGTTTAAAATTACTTTTGCAATAAATGGAGCTATAATTTTATACATAAATTTATCTTTATTTAGTTGAAAATATCTGTTGCATGATAGTGTAACACTGGATAATGTTTTGTTCTATTCTTGCTTTCCATGCAGATTTCTTTTATGGTAAAGATTTATGAAATTAATAGGAGGTACTAGTTTACAAGATAAAGGTGTGTCAATTGTTATATGTCTAGTTTTATGAATTTAAATACTGTTTCGTGTTGTTTAAGTATTACGAAAGGTGATTTTCTATTTAACAAATTTTCCATATAACGAACTTATTATCTGGATTTAGTGACTTCGTTAAATGAGGTTCGACTGTATTTAAATATTAATATGCAAACCCTTTTTTGTGCCTTATTATAGTATAACAGCAAAATGTTCCTTCTCTTTAATGCTAGAAGTTAACTTGTCAAGCCAAATATAAAATTTTATTCACTTATTTTTTGTCCCTCCAAATATAATGTAAGATGCGGTTTTCATTTTGTATACGTATTTTTTTTTCTTTTGATGATTAATAATCCAAGTAGTTAAAAAGTTTCATTTTAATTCAACTAATTGTGACTTTTTTTCCAGACTCCTTGGCCTATGCCGTTCTCCACTGACTGTCGGCAGAATTATAAATCTCAAGACAGAAGTTTTACCTGTAGCATCGGAAAGTTTATCAAAAACATTTTTCACTAGAGGTTTTATTTTTATTTATTTCTTGTTTTTATATGTCTTAAAATATCTATCTAATTTTGTACTGTGTCTCTTTTTTTTTTTAAGTATCATTTTTTACGTAAATGAATGTCATCTATAAAATTTATGAATGAGGTGTTTAGTTTTAAATCCAATTTAAAAAGCATCTGAACAAAGAAGTTAGTTGCACATAAAAATGCTTTCTAGAAAGTTTTCTTGCTTCTAGTGGTTTGTTTTCAGCATTACTTACCTCTAAGACCTAAGTTGATTGCACTTTGGTTTTTGGACGACTTTTCTTAAATGTTGAAAATAGTTTTAATTCCATTTTTTTTTCATTTGTTTTAAGCTTTACTTTAACAAAAAGAATACTTTTTCAGTTGCAAATTTTACATTAACTAATATTTATTAATAATTCTACAATTGTGACCTCGAAATCATTTAATAAATTCTCTTTTGTCAAGCTTTTATTGATTCTGAAAGTTTCTCTTTTTTATTGCTGTGAGCTATATTGTTGTAGTGCTAAATTTTTTTCCTGGGAACCCAGTTCACCTGGATTAGGAGTAAATGATATGGTCTCTGTTAATTTTTCAAGCATAGTGTATATTTTATATGAGTTTTATCCTTAAATGGGTTGTAAGAATTTTCTAAAAAGTTGTAAAGGGAACCAAATGAAAAGTCTGTGGTTTTAGAATAACAATACTAATATGAAGTAAATCAACTTTTGATCTGTTTTTTTTTCTTTTAAATATTTATTCATTAATATTTTACAATTTGTACTTAATTTTCGACTAAAAGTCTAAAATTTATGTCCCGGAACGCGGTTCCGGCTAGCAAAAGTACCATAACATCATACGGGTTCATTTCTGCTCCTCTTCACCGCTGGTTGCTGCTGCTTTTGACAGTAATAATATAAATAAATAAATAACCATGACATTCATATTATAACATGAAATAGTGGTAAAAAAAATTTTTTTGTGAGAGTAAGATTTTCTTTTGATGGAATGTTTTTTTTTTAAAAAAAAATAAAGGAATAAAATAATAAATGATATATGTGATGAGTCAAATCAAAATCCTTCTAGAGGATTTTTTTTTTCGTCACTCTTGCTTTTGTAAAAGCTATTAGCCCTTTTTTATATCATTCAAATAAATAATTTTATTTTTTCAAAAATATTTCTTATTAAAAAAGAAACTTTTTTCAGATAATGACACTTGTTTTTATGGCCATTGTTATTATTGCTCTCCGGCTGATCCCGCATGTGGTACTGGAGATGTTATGGAAGGAGCTTTGATACTCATGTTTCCTGAAAAATATAGGTTAAAAAAATATCGCAGCCCCTGGCAAAGAACTTATAAAGAAACAGTTACTGCTAGGTAATATATACATATTTATCCATTTGTTATATTACTCTAAACTACATTTTGCTGATTTGACATAAAATCAAGGCTTAAAAGAATTATTTTTTACAAATTTTTAATAAAGTGATTGTGATTGTATTGAATCACTTTAACAATCAGCAATGATACCAGTGCAAACGGGTGTGTTAAAGAGTAGTTTCTTGAATCCGTAATTTGAATTTTGTATGCTGTAATAATATCAGCATATTTAAAAAAAATTCATGAGATTACCTATATTAGTAGCTGAGCAATTAAAAAAAACAAGTGAAAATTTTCAATAATTGCTGGAAAAAAATATCAAAACTCTACACATATTTATGATCGAATAGATGCGAGTAGTGGGTGATAAAATAAAGACTAAAATGCATTATTTAAAATTTTTATATGTTAAAAATATTTCATGGATTTTATTCTACCAAATTTATAAAACATCAGAAAATGTATGCATTGATTAATTAATTCTTTTGCTATAAATCAGAATTTGTTACAAAATCTCTAACTCACTGTCATAAAGTGTAAAAGATGGTGTCCTTTAAAGAAAAATGAAAGGAAAGAACATGATTTTTAAAATAATTTATATTTTAAACTCTCGTGATTTTGGAATGTATGTTTTTTTTAAATATTATCTGTTTGAAATCTTGCTGAAGCCAGTCATTACTGTATTTTTATTTCTCAAATGAGAATCGAAAAATCGTGAGCATTTCCTTCCCCTCCAATATGTGATAAAAGCATATTTTGAGTAAAATTCTGCAGAAAAGAAAACAAAATTTTTTTACTTTCCAAAAGAAAAATCTTTCTACCTGCAAGAACTCTGTAACATTCTGCGACGACATTGCTGTGTCGCCGCGATTCTGCCATGGGGTCTATTGCTGTGATACTTTTGTATTTAAACTTATGTCTATAGTCATATGTCAGGGGTCTGTTTAGAAGAAATTTGGATCCATTAACGGACCCTTCACAAAATACCTTTTCATATAAACGAACCCTTCACAAAATTATTTCTCTTTTGATCGGACCCTTTACAAATTTGTTTATCTTCGTTATTGTTTAGTTCATCGAATAAGCCCTTCCCGGAGGGGGGTGGGAGAGAAAGACAAACTAAGTTTTCCAAGTTTCCCTAAGTTTAAATTCCAAACATAGTATTCTAAGAAAATATTTCTACTTTTACAAACATTGTGTGTACATTCTTATTAATATTAAATCATAATTTTTTTTGTAAATAAGTAATTGATCAATTTGTATTTATTCATAAAATTAATTAATAGAATATTATGCAAATAAAAATTAATTTCTGGCAATTTTTTAAATAAAATATTATAAATTTAAGAATTGTTTAAGTTTACTTGATGCATAAAACATTAAAAGTGATACATTACTAAGTTGTGTTATCTAAAATATGTCAATTGAAATTATTAAAAATGTGAGTGATTTTGTATCCATTATTCGTCCGAAATGAATATTTTGTGTTGAGCAGTTAGGCTAAGTACCAAATAACAGGACCCTATTTGCACAAATTCACAAAAGCAGGGCCTTGGTTGAAAGAAGGTGACTTAATGCTTATTTTATATTCACAAATTATTAATAGTTTCTTCACAATTTTACAAAAACAGGACCTTTCACAAAATGTCTAAGCAGACCCCTGCATGTACTACAGTCATATAATTTATTATCATCAATTTATTATTTGTGTATGATCCTTATTAGCATTGAATTATGCTTAGGTGGGAACAAGACTTCAACTATTGTGATCAAATTAGGAAAATTAACATTTATAAAAAAGGAAACAGGCTTTTAGATTTGATTGATGCTGCTGTTTTTGATTATTTGATTGGAAATGCAGACAGGCATCACTATGAAGTCTTTGCTGATTTTCCAGACAGCATTGTTATTTTACTTGACAATGGTAAAAGGTAAATACACTTAATTGTTTTTCATTTTATAAATCAAAATGAAATTGTGTTATTTTAATTTATTTACTTTTATGTATTTTTATTTATTTAGTTTTGGGAATCCATATTGGGATGAATTAACAATTTTAGCTCCTTTGTATCAATGTTGCAAGTATGTATACTATTAATTTTTATTATTTCTTTATATATTTTCGGCAAAACTTAATTCTGTAACTAAGAACAATGTAATATTATATATATAATTAATAAATAATCCATGAATATTGAAATGCTCATAAATTATATTAATAATATGGTACTATTTTTCTATAAATGTCTGTAATGATGTTGTAATTTCTAAATGGTAACAAAGTTAAATACTTGCAATTCAAATGCTCATTATGAATAATATTATTTAAGACTAGAAATTGTTTGATATTAATAATTACAGGAAAGCTTTCTTTATTATGTAAGTAACATTGAATGAATAAGTTCATAAATTATTTTACTAATTAGGTAAATATAATAATAACTTATCTGCTGTATTTGTTTGTTTTCCCCTTTTGCAAATGTCACTTAATTTAAGACAATTTTATCGTTTATGAATATCATATTTTCCGATTTGAAATGCTTAAATCTCTGTTTAAAAAATTCAAACTATTCCGATAATGTTTTAAAACTTTTGAATATTTATAATTTTTTAAAAAATGAGAAAACTGGTTTTTTCTGATATAATGTATTATGTTACATCTATAACACTTGGATTTTTTTTAACCAAAAATATTAGAAACAATTATAATTATTTTTGATAAAATAACTCTTGGTGTTATTTATACTTACTCCAATTTTTAGTAACTTTTAAATTTTTTAAAAAAATAAAAGACTGGTTTTTACTGACATAATGTATTGTGTTACGTCCTGAACACTCAGATTTTTTTTTTAAACAAAAATTATTAGCAGAGCTTAAATTTTTTAAAATTTAATTATGTACATACTTCAAAACTTTGTAACTATAGCATTCAGAAATGTTGAAATGGCCATCTGTTAATAATGTATATTTCTGACTTAAGCAACAATTTACTGTTTGCGTGGTATTAAAAATTTTTTTACATTTTTAGGATTCGCAGAAAAACTTATGAACGCTTATGGACATTTGTTGGCCATCTTGGTCTATCCCTTAAATCCATTTTAAGCCTTGACCAATTGTCACCTGTTCTCTCTCAATCACATTATGAATCACTTGATAGACGATTGAAAACAGTTCTTGCTGCAATTGAAGTGTGTTTAGATGATAATGGTGAAGAGAAAGTTCTTATGGACACAATTTAACTAAAAGCTTTCAATATGTAATGTCTGATTCATGCATTTTAGTATGATTCTGACAATATATTTTTATTCTGTGATATTTTACATTGCCTTTATACTATGAATTGTTTTTTTTATTAGTTTGACCTTTAGGGAAGTAGACTTCATTATGAATATCACTTCCACTTTGTATTCAAAAATTCTGTAATCTTTATTTAATAGTTGACTTTCTTAATATGTGTTAGTAAGCATTTTTTTTTTATTCTGTAAAATAATATTACAATTCCATAAAACAATTTAGAGTGCTGTTTTTATGAAGGGCTATGATGGTTTGAATTTTGAAACTCATATGAAAATTATATTTTTATTCTGTTATCTGTCCATTTCACTTTGCAATATTTCTCAAAATAATGGAAAATAAATAAAACAGTTACTATCGTATACTAGGAACCTCAAGTGTTGAAGGAAATTGTCAGAAAACATGATTAGAAATTTTTAATGTGGTGATAATTAACCTCATTTTGCAGGTTAAAGTTTATTTAGTACTAGTTTACATAATATCAATACTGTAAATTTATGTGAAAAATTAAATTGTTTTGTGTTGTTGAATATTGTTTATTGCAATGTTTTTTAACGTCAAATAGTATAAAAATACCAGTGTTCGTAATATTTAAATAATAACAAGTGAGGTCTATACTGAATCCCACTTCGATACTTATCTCTTTGCCATGCAAGATTTAACGGTTTATGTTTAAAATGCTTTTTTTTTTTATTTGCGTTTTCCAAATCAATCATAAATTCAGTCATACCTCAATTTCACTAATTTGTTGATATCGTAAGTCTTTGGTCATTTGTTATTTTGATAACAGAAAATTATTTCTTAATAAAATTAATCTTTAATTTTACAAAAATTTTTGGTAGCATTTTAAAATCTCACCCATTAATCTTCCTTATTTATTTTCACCAAGGTACAAAAATATTTTTGCAAAGGATTGTTTTTTTTTTCTTCCTTTGAATAACACTAGGTAGACTTGGTAAACTAGAAAGTAATCAAGTACTATGTCTTATTGATTTTGGGCAACCAAGTCCAATCCTTGCTTTCTAGTGAAAACATTTTTCTTCTTTTCTTTTAACCTTGGATCTCAAAATAGGAATTTTCCTTTTTATTTGATTAGATAAATCATTTCATAAATTAATAAATCTTTTTATATATTAATTTATATATATATGGAACTATATATATAGAAATAAGACTTGCAACGTGATTGATTCAAAAAGCTCACCTCAGACATTATTATGTCATGAATTTAGGCTTAACAGCAAAACCCTCCCGTTCTTGACAAGTGCTTGCGTAAAAGAAAGCTATTTGTGGGTGTTTTCAACTCCTGTTGCGAAAGGGTTAATAAAATGCATTTTCTGAATAAACATACCTCCGAATAAACATAAGTTGTCATATTATTATTAATATTCGGAAACTGTGATTATTTGTATGTTATATAATCAGCTCTTTTTTCAAAAAATTATAAGCTCTGGTGATTTGCGATACAAATGAACAATGTTACTTGGTGAATCATCACAAAGCTTTCAATAATCCATAGTATTTTACGCAGTTATGTCTTTTCCAACATAATATATGTGGGGTGCTATTTTATAAAAGTATACAAAATTATTGTATAAAAATTATCCTAGTTGCTAATAAGTAAATAATCACTTTTAATCTAAATGTAGTTTAAATCTTACTGAATTTTATATTATCCTGCCTTTTTGAGATGCTTTAACAGTTACATAAAATAGTTAGAAACAAAACATACAAATCTGTATATAAAAATTCTTAAATTATGCAAGAGGTATTTCTCAAGTAATTGATGTGTTTTGATAAATTAATTAAGGCCTAAGAATGTTATTAGTTGTAGTGTTGTGAGTCGCACTTGTTATGGATATATCCTGGCAATTTCATGTATATGTAGGAATTACACTGCGGAACAAATATTATTTTTGCCTTGAAATTTTTTAATAGATTTCAGATATTTTCGCATACTGATTTCAAATCTTCAATCTGTTTATCTCTGCAAGCTACAATTTTCATGTAATTTGATAATATATTCCTAACCAAGATTTTTCTTTTAAATTTACTCAAGTTATCACTTAGTGCTCCCACTTCTCTGGTACATAGGGAGTGGTGGAAAGATGGTGCGATACATTAAGGTCATATGTTTTTTGTCTTGAGTGTTATTTTCAAAACAACAGGCATATGTATATACATGCATATAAACCTATGTATTCTTTATAAACTCCTAAATTCATATGAAAAATGAACCAAAAATATAATTTCTAAAAAAATCTTTAGATTTCGAAACAAAACTAATTTCAGATTTGAAATCCCTATAACCAAATTAGGTAAGATCAAGTTCTTGTATACATGCAACAAAGAAGTTGTTCCCTAGTGTTAATAATAATCCTCTTGCTGTTAAATTTATTTTGTGTGTGTATGGTAAATTGCGTATGTAATTGGTAAAATTCAGATTCTGTTTAATCATATATCATGGAGGAAAACATGCAATCTATGAGAATTCTGTCTACTTGGCTAAATATTTGTTAAAATATAATAAATGTGAAAGCAAACAACAGTGTTTGCCATTTTCCAAGTTATTAGTGTCTGCTGTGTCATTTATAAATTTTTATTTTTTGAACTTGTGCCATGTGCTATAGTATTTGTATTATATCTCATTGTATAATTTTTTTGTATTCTTTTTATTAGCTAGTTAGAACTAGACTCTGCTGCATTCTACGTTTAAAAAAATATTTTTTAGTTCAACAAAAACTATTTCTTTTTACTGTTCATTTCTAGGTAAAATGTGTGCCTCTTTGGTCCTAAATTAGATTTTCAATTTGATGTATCTACCAGATGTTTTAAAAATGGCCGATGATTTGAAGAGTGAATTAAGGAAATGAAATGTATGGTTTGCTGTGTTCTATTTAACTAACCTGAGAATCTGTGTGCAACCCATCCAATAGTGTACTCAAAATGGACTATCCTTTCCATGTTCTGTCTGATATCTTTAGGGTCTGCAATTGTCCACGTTGTAATGCATATATTTCTTTATACTGCATTCCATCATTATACAATCTGAACAGTTGCCATATTTAGTTAATAGGTGCCAAAGATTTTGTGGGTTTTAGAAACTTAAACTACATTTATAAAAAAAAATAAAAAACTACTTGCTGTTGTCTTAAATATCTTTCTGCAAAATATACCTTTTGCAGGAAAGAAGACAAATATAAGCCTTTTACTTCTACAAAAAAAGAAAAAAAAATTTATTTGCTAAGATGTCTAAAGAGAACTATGATTTAACCACCAAAGATAAATATCTATGGATGGAAAGATTTAAAGACAGATTTTTCCGCAAAAAGACAAGATACTCTTACTGCAAAAGATGTCTGCAAAAAGATAGTATAAAAACTTATTACTCTGAATATTACCGATATGACTAATGTTATCCTTTATTTCGGTGTTCTACAGACTGCTTTTAGGAATTCGCCTATATATGCTTTTAATTGAGTTTTTCAAATTAAATTAATTAATTTTATAATCAATTTAGTCCAATTCTTCTTGAACCCTCATTTAAAAACTGAAGAATTGACTTCTTGCATTGTACAGTTGTTTTGTTTGAAAATGTTCAAACTTTTAAAACTTTTAGTATTTATTAGTTTTTTTTTTTTTTAAACTTATCTTAATTTCCCATCAATATTTTTTACCTACATTACTACAGTAGGGAACTGATTATCCGGAACAATCGGGACCATCGCTATTACGGATAACTAATTTTTCTGGTTTTCTGAATCGCTACAAAAAGCCGTTTATTTTTATTATTAAATCCAACTAAAAAAAAAAATTGGAAATAATCTTCAAAAGAAGAAAAAACGATTAAGTAATACACTAATGATTATTTCCAAAATGATGGTAAGGTAAAAATCTTTCAAAAAAGAAAGAAAAATCCTAAAATCTTATGAGGAAAAATTCATTGAATTTCGTTTTAGTTGTTTGGTTTTCTGATTTCTGGATAACGGGTACTGTACTGTATTACCTTTTTTTGCTTAATTTCTTATCTCTGTTTTTAGTTCATTTTCTCCTTGGCAACTTAATATACATATTATGAGTGATTGTAAAAGTTTTTCTTCATAAGAATAACTTTATATGCATGTACAAATCTTTAATATAATATATGTAACTATGTCTAACTTTTAAAGAAATAATTCCAGGATACTGAAACAGAAATATATACTTGGTTAAAAACTTGGTTACTTCAAAGAATATAAAGCCTCTCCTCTTCGTAGCTCGTTGGAAATGCATTTTACTCCTCTCTGCCGCAACAGTTTTTTTTATTATTTGTTTTTCTGTTTTGTTTTACATCTTTATTTTCTACTTTATATTAACAACTTTGCATTTTATGTTTCAAATCGCTTTTGCTTTCCTCGTTAACCTCCAGCAATAAAAGAATGAGTGCTGAGCGATCAAAACATGTTGACTTTTATTACCATCTTTGTATTTTTTGAAGCCAATGAAGTTTTTAATATATATGTCTAACTCCAATTTATGTAATTAAACTAATTTGATAAGATATATTGTATGTAACAAATCTCATTATTGTCCTGTGTATTCTAATTTTGATAAAAAGAAATCATTTCTAATAAATTTTATTTCTTCTTATTAGGTAAATCTTTTATAGTTTTAAATACTATTGAATGAATAGAAAAAACCAATTGTCTACATTAATGTTATGATTTTATGTTTTACCTACATCTAACGCAATATTTTATTTTAATGTGAAACTTTTATATACAAAATTAATTGACTATAATAAATTTAAAATGTTTTTTTTCCTCCATAAATAAATCTATTTAAGCTATGTTGATAATTGTGATGAAAACTCTTCATTGATATACTATCTCTTAATATTCTAAGTTTTTTAGTTTTTATCAAGAGAAAAAATTTCAACACTTCTCTTTTTCTTAATTTACTATATTTGCTTCAAAATCACAATTTTTAAATATCCAGTAAAAAATAATGTAACTTTAGATATGAATTATATAAGATAAACTGATTCTGCTATTCTATGAATATGTAGCAGGACTACAAGTTATGTATAGCAGTAATTTAAAAATGTTTCAAGGCATTCTTGCTAATGTATTTGTCTAACATATCATTGTAGTAACATATTCTCATAGTTTACTTTTTTATGTTTGTACAATTATTTATTTTTAATAAATGTCTTTAATTATTCTTATGGTGTCTTGTTTCTGTTTTCTTTTCTTTCTTCTTTTTTTTTTTCGGTTAATGTTTTTTGTGAGTGTGTGTTTAAAAAAAAAAAAAAAAAAACTTTGCTTTTTAGAAAACTGATCTGTTTTAATTTGCTTAGCTGATTTCAGTAAGAGATGACTGCTTTATTTCTAATATGTATTTTAGCTTTGCTATCCTGAATAAAATGCATTATTTAATTTTTATAAGTTTTATTTTGGATGTAATTTAGCATTTTTATTGATTGATTAGGACGAAATCGGGAATATTCCGTATAAATTTACTCGTTTTAGTTAGCATGTGACTTTTAATCCTAACTATTGTTTCAATTATGATATCATAAAGAAAATGTAGGGTTATTTAATTAATATTCTTATTGAAAGCTAGATTTAAGAAGAAATAAAGAATGTTTTGCATTAATTATTTACTCATTTTAGCTACCAGGTGTCTGTTCTAATCCTGATTATTATTTTAACTATGATATTATAAATAAAATGCATTATTTAATTTTTTTAATTCTAATTTCGAATATGAACCTGTAATTTTACAAACTAGCTTTCAGAAGAAATAAGGAATATTTTGTGTTAATTATTTATTCATTTTTATTTTCAATACGTAGTATGTAGTTTTTTCTAATTATGTATATGCAAAAGGGAATAGGAGCATGCTGCGCATTCCTAAAAAAATTATTAATATTTTCATGCAATATCATTTAAAATAACAAAGTTTTGGTTCATGAACTGTATTGATTTATACTAATTTTTTATTATTATTTTTTCATTTGTTTATGTTTCCATTTATTATTTGTATACAATATATACCATGCATCATATTCCGTCACTTTTTTCCATTTCTTAAAACATTTCATTATTTTGATATATTTATATAGTATTCAAATTTTTATGATACTGTGAAAATTGTTTTGTAAAAATTTGCAAGAAAAAAAGAAAGCAAGAAAAAAAAATTGAAATTAAAAAAAAATGAAACAAATATTTATTGATAAGTTTCTGTACAGCTTTTATTGCAAGAAACATTAGTTTAGTAATAAAAATGAATTTATATAACATCAATTAGGTCAAATGAAAATGAATTTTTGTCAAACAAAAAATTATTATTGTAAATACATTAATTATGAAATAGTAAGAAAATCAGAATAATTTCTTCTTTGATTAATAAGAAATCACATAATTTTATATTATTTTACCGAAAACAATAATTGATATTAAAAAACACTTGCACTCTTAAAATTTCCGAAATTAGCACAAATTGGTTTTATGTACTATGTTCACACCACATTTCAAATATTTACAAAATAACTTTAATTAAAGTACATATCTTTAATAAAACTAAATAAAAAACTGTTTAACAAAGTTTTAAAATTTTTGTTATATCTTTAGAAAATTAATGAAATTTTTCTAAAATTAAAAATGTTACCAAAGGCATTTCAAACACAAAGTTAAAAACATTCTGCAATTCATATTCATTTGATAAATTTTCAGAAGTCATACTTTGAATATGTTGAGTTATGATTTCTTGTTTGCGAAGAACAATAACTTTCATTTTATCAAACATAGTTATGTTCTCATTTGGTAAAAAAAAAGTTTTGCCAATTGAGATGTACTTAATGAGGTAGGTTAAAAGAATTGGTTTTATGACATCATACAATAAAATTGAATGAGTTTATTTGTAATTTTGGTGTTTAATTTGCCATTTTGATGACATTAAAAATAATATCAAACTAAACCAAAAACTTAAATTTAGTTTTCAAAAAGTTTGTAAATTAAAGATAGTCTATATTACAAAATTGACTGAAGACTAGATCATTTTTCTTAATTTCAAAATTATATATTTTTCATAAAACAACTATTAAAATTTATTATATTATTTATTTAAGTTAATTTTTACTGTATCATATTCAAGGATTCATTTTTGATAGATTGGTTTTTAAAATTCATTTGGAAAACTAAAATACTCAAAACTGATTTACTAACTATGTTCTATTTCATCTTTTGTGTACATATATTCTTGAATATTTCAATTTATTCAAAATATCTTTTTTCGATGAAAATTTTCTATTTCGTGACTAGATTTTGTACTTTTTTGTGAATAAATTTGAAATGTAAATATTATTTAAAAGCATTATAAGTTTTCTACAAATTTTAATAACGCATTGCGCAAGGTAAATAATGAGTTATTCCAATTTATAATTCCCTTTCACTAAGGAATAGTAAAAATAAGTACTGGTCTTCCTAAACTTAAATTTAATTCTCTAGTTTAAAATAAACTTATTTAGAATAAGGTTTAGTGTATGTAAAATCTCCATAATCGTAAAAGGAGTTTCTTGTATGTTTAATGATCGCATTTGATTGAGTTTATTGATCAGATTTTATTCACTATGTCAGGTAAGCTGAATGTTCAATGTGATTACCATGTGAGAGCTACGCCACTAAATTTGTATTGCTCAAGTTATCTAAAACCACGTGTTTACAGTTATGCTTTTAAAACTTGTTTTTAAAAACTGAAAAATTTCAATTGAATAGTAATTTAAATAAAAATAAATTAGATTTAAATTAATGAAGAAAAGTGCTTGATTATGGTATGTTGTGACCAGGGGTCTGTCCAGACATTTTGTGAAAGGTCCGTTTTTGTAAAATTGTGAAAAAATTACTCGTAATTTGTGAATATAAAGTAAACGTTAAATCACATTCTTTCAACTAGGGTCCTGCTTTTGTGAATTTGTGCAAATAGGGTCCTGTTATTGCAAAAAACATTTTCAAGGAGTTTTTAAATTATAAAGAGATACAAGATTATGCTCAACACTGTAAAATTATAATAAAAAGATTTAAATTTTAAAAAATAAACAGCAATTGCTGCAACTAAATTAGAGATGCAACATACAAATGTTTGGTATTTAGCCTATAATGCTGAACGCAGAATATTAATTTCGGACGAATAAAGGAAGAAGCGTGTGCCGAAGACTAAACTTCGTTCGTTTACATCTGTCTTTCTTTCCCCCACCCCCCTGGGAAGAATTTATTCGATTAACAAAACAATAATGAGGATAAACAAATTTGTGAAGGGTCCAATTAAAAGATAAATTATTTTGTGAAGGGTCCGTTTTTAAGTTAAATTATTTTGTGAAGGGTCCGTTTTTATGAAAAGATATTTTGTGAAGGGTCAGTTAACAGACCCAAATTTCTTCTAAACAGACCCCTGGTGACTATCATGAGTTGACTCTGCTCAATAGCTTAAAGTCACTAGTAAGGTCAACAAATAGCAGGATATAAGAATTAATAAATAAAAATTGGAATTTTTTAAGCTTTGAGAATTGTGTCTGTATATGCCTTTCAATTTTGAGCATGATTTTATTATATTGATTAATTGCTTTTTGTTTATCCTGTATGTAGTGCAGATATTTAGCTAGTTGATAATAATATTTATATCTATTATGTTAATTTTATTAAATGATGGCCATCCTGTGACAATAGTTATAAAAGATACTCTTTAAAAACTCAACTCAAAGTATGACCTGCATGCTTTTCTGTCACACAAACGGAGTACTTGAGTCATTCACTACAAACAAATGTGCTGCATAGATCAGAAACTTCCACAGTTTTTTCTTAGGACTCAATAGCTACAGAGTTGTGTGCTGCTTGAATGAAAAACTTTTTCTCAGTTTTGTCCTGTGACTCAATAGCTGGGATGTCTGCTGCCCAGATGAGAAACAACTGCACAGTTTTGTTCCTGCTCACAATGAAGAAATTTCTATGCAATTATGCTCTATAACTCAATTACTAAAGAGATTGTATGCTGCATAAATGTATGCTGTCCTCTGACTCAATAACTGAAGGAGCTGTGTGCTGCATCAATAGGAAACTTCTGCAGATTTTTCTAAGATCCAATAGCTAATTAGATTGCAACACTTAAATAGATTTTAAATTTTTAAGAAGCGTTCTTTAGTCCTTTAAATTACATTGACTCTGACAAATGATAGTTATAAAGTGAGAACATGCATATGGCAATTGCATAGGCAACTCTCGTCTCAATCCATGCTCTCCATGAGTAAGTTTACTTGCCAAGAATTATTATTACAGATATCAAGTTGCAGTTTTATTTTCAATTGTCTTTGTTTCTTCAGAACTTTTTCTCCTTTCTGGAAACCACAGTTGTTCTAAATTCAAGAACGGGGCTTCAAATGATAGGTGAAAAATTATTGACAATGCAAGAGTGATCATTAATATTCCTAGGAATTCTGTGACCTATAAAAATTGTTCATTCACTGTATGTAAGTAATATAGTTTAAATCATTTATATAAAATATTAAGCATCAAGTATCACCACCATTTAAATGCAGCACAATGTTGTTGTTTTTTTTAAAAATTAGTTATGCAAATGATCATGTTATAGATATCGAGTCAAATAAAATCAAAATTTATAAAATGCAAAAGCAATATATATAATCTAAAAGCAGCAACATATATTATTGTTGCCTTAAAGCAAAAATACATATTGCAATGTCATGCATAAAAATGCAAATAAAAGTAAAAATTATAAGTAAGATATAATGCAAAAGAAATATTTTTTTAAAAAATAAACACTGCATATTGTAAAGCTATGAAGAATGTAGGTAAAAGCAAAAATTATATAATTAATGAACCAAAATTATTATTACAAATTGTGAATAAGTAATATGCAATAATGCTTTGAATAAAAATGTGGATAGAGGAAAGAAAAGAATTATATAGTTCGTCTAAAGTAAGAACTCCCCTAGCCTTTCGTCTGAACCCGTGGAAGTGACTATGGTAACGAGGTATAACCATTTCAAGAAGGCGTGTGGGGTCACTGTTTAGGACAAGTTTTGGTCCGGGGGATGCGAGAGAAAGGTAATCTTTTTCTCCAGTATTTTATGTTAGACCTTGAGTGAAGAGAAGCTACCCTCCCTGAAATGCGCTATTCTTGTTTCCATAGCAGCAGACGGCGTCAGACTTTGTGACGGGGAAGTTCTTACCGTAGGCAAACTATACTATATAATCAGTAAAAAAATATGTATTGTTTTGATTTTGAAATAGAAATGCAATAAAAACTATAGATAAAATTATATATATATATATATATAATTTTTTTTGTAGTCTACCAATAATACGTGATACTGTGAATAAAAATGCAGATAGAAGCAGCAAAAAAGCTTGCTTTTTCATAATGTATAAGAATATAAATGAATTTTTAAATAATTATTAAAATTAGCGCAATTTGAATATTTTGAAAAGAACTGAATTATAAACGAAACCTTATAACACGTATATGTACTGTATAAAAAACTTTATAAACAAACTTAGAAATTTAGGACGCAACTAGGATTATCAGCTCTGCTGTTGAGTGTAGAATTTGCATTGCCCCATTACATATTGTTTCTTTTAAATTTATCTTTCATAAATTTCGTACATATTAGCAAGATTTAAAAAATATAAATTTGGCCTTTCTATCAAACCAGCTGGATTAACATTATAATATGTAAATCTTAAGTTTTCTGTTAAAGGACCCGTCATATGTGCTGACCTCATTAAAAGATATTTTACTATTTATTTAACTATTTTTAAAAACTAAAATGTTCTGTTTAGTATTTTTTTTTTTTTTTTAGTTTGGCTTGTAAGAATTATTTGAAATTAGAAAAAAGAAATTCTGAAACTATTTTACATTAATTTTAATACAGTATATTTTTTTATTGCATATCAAAAGGACACAAAACGAACTATCCCAGGATCCCAAATCTATATACATTTTTGGTTCTTTGTCGGATTTGTATTAAAATTTTTAATAAGAAGCTTATTTAAAACTATCGTGCTTACTATATCGTAGTGATGAAATTGAAGCAATGATCGCCTCCAGCTGACTCGAACCCATAAAACTGGAAAATGTAGTAGATAAACTGAATAGCATAATCGACTAAGTGGTGTAAAGGCCTGCCATGACAAGAATTTATTCAGCATACCTGTAAAGAAGAAAAAAAACTATGAATTTTAAGGAAGAATATTAATAGGTGCCATTTTTGAGCACTTGAAACATGTGAACTGTTATTTCCAGTTAGTATGTTTTTGAAGCGAATGAAGTTTTTACCATCTCTCCATAGCACGTGGAAATGCATTTTACCCTGATTTTTCTCTCTCGGCCACTATGGTTTTTCTGGTTCGTTTCTTTCTTTCTTTATTTTTTTTAAGTCTTTTTTTCTCTCTTGGCTACTATAGTTTTTATATTCTTGTTTCTCAACTTTATTTTTCATTAGCAACTTAACGATTTTTATGTTTCAAATCACTTTTGTTTCTTTTCATTCACATCTGGCAATTCTTGATGGATGCTTATTTTTGAGCTTTTAAAACATTTCCAATTTGTATATTTTTGAAGCGAGTGAAGTTTTTAATCAAGTAATTTCTTACGCTTCAGTTTCTTGGGATTATTCATTTAAGTAATAGAGAGAGTCTTATACTTTGGAACACGCACACTTTTTAGGAATTTAATGGAATCATTAGCGCAATTTTTATTTCTAGTAAGGACATAGCCAATTGATGACATGACAGCAAAAGTTAGCTTCTGAAGTATTGCATTAATGAAATGAATAATCCCAAGAAATTGAAGTAAATTTATACATTTGTAAATTCAAAAAAAAACATAAGCTTCAAAAATTAAGGAGGGAAAAGGACTCGTTTATCCACCTTAGTTTTTGAAACTAATAAAGTGCTTGTTAGTTTTTAAAACCAACAAGTACATAAAAGTAATATCTAAGTTAAAAAGTTATTTACAAGTAATAATAATTAGTTAAGTACAAAAGTAATATAAGTTCGGCACTTAAAAGTAATATTTTTCTTTGAATTTTGTTTTTATCTTTTAAATTCGTTCTCAAAAATTTAATAAGAAGAATTGAAATTTAATGGAACTGAAATTTAATTTAGAAATTTGTAAAATTATACAACGAAAATATAATAAGTAACAGAAGAAAAATGTTTTAGTTAATGGGAAAATAATGATTGTCCATTTAGATTGACCTCAATTTTGATTTTTAATGAACTATGTGATAATTTTATCTTACACATACAACAATAGTTTTTAATATTTTTGACTTTTTTTTTTACTACGGGCAGTGTTTCCCCAACTTATGACTTTTGTGTACCCTTTCTAAATTTTTCGCAACGCTGTGTACCACTAAAAAAATGAGTGTATTTTTTACTACAGAAAAATTGCCCAAAAGTTAAAAATCACAACTGGCTGTTGACACCACTTATTATTAACTGTTAACTCAGCAAAAAAAAGCCAATAGAAAAATACGTAATCGTAAATTTTCATGGCTAGCTTTGTGTTTAAATAAAATGTTTTGAAATTTTCGTTTTGATGCAAGATATTTCGCATAAGAACGCGTACCCCCACTAAACTGTTCCCGTACCCCTGAGGGTACAGGAACAGTTTGGCGGTTAACAGTTTCCAAAATACCACACTTTGGGAAACACTGCGATAATTTTAATCTGTTGCAATCTTTTGAATACGTAAAATGTTATATTCAATAAATCTTGTTTAATGTATTGTTGCAATATTTTTATTAATTATTTCAATTGCAGATACTTTCATTAACTATTAGACTGTTATTTTATAATTGAAAAATGCCAAAATCTGTTTTGCTTGTAGTTAGAGCATCAGAAAAAAATATATGTAAAAGGGAATCTGGTGCCCCATCTGCTTTAAGTGGGCTCATAGACTATTTACAATTTCTACGTGTGACAAATTTTTATTTTAAATTTGTTGCAAATAGAAAATGTAACAAATGTTGTGACAAATTTTTATTTTAAATTTGTTACAAATAGAAATTGTAACAAATGTTGTGACAAATTTTTATTTTAAATTTGTTGCAAATAGAAATTGTAACAAATGTTGAGACAAATTTTTATTTTAAGTTTGTTACAAATAGAAATTTTAACAAATGTTGTGACAAATTTTTATTTTAAGTTTGTTACAAATAGAAATTGTAACAAATGTTGTGACAAATTTTTATTTTAAATTTGTTACAAAGAGAAATTGTAGCAAATGTTGTGAAAAATTTTTATTTTAAATTTGTTACTATTAGAAAAATTATGTTACTGATTAGTATTGAAAGATTGCCTTTAGATTGCAAACATGACTATAATTGTATCAGCTGAAAATTATGATTTGAAAAGTGTCTAAAGGTAATTTTTCCCCTGCATATTTAATTAATTTAAATGATAAACTATAGGAAAATATTTGACTTAGTTTTCTTTTCATAATTAAAAACAGCGTGATGGTAAAACAAAAGTCCTTTTTTTGTCATTAACTGACCACCATGTCCTGTAGCACATGTGAAAAGCACCCAGGCTACTCCTGCTGCCCAAACTGTCCTATGCAATACTGCATAAATAACTCCTTCCACAGTATCTGCAGCTGTACCTCTGCTCCACAAGTAGGTTGCAAACAGTACAGCCAGACAGCTAACTGATGATACTGCCCATCCAGCACTTTGGGTAACCTGCAATACAATGAATTCAAAGTGTTACAAAGAGTGCTTTATTTTGATGGTGGCTAAAAATAATAATAAATATAGCTATTAGTGAAGTTGAAGATTGTTTACTTTGCTCAAGGACCATTTCTGTTTTTTCCAAAGAATGTAGCCTAAGGCCAACCCTACGCAATAAGCTCCAACGTGAGGATAAGGTCGGAAATAAATCAAATTCGCAGTTCTTTTGGTGAGTCTGAAATTTTAAAACATATGGTTAATGTATTAGTTTTACAATTTAAGTCATTACAAAAATTTTAATAATGTTGATTATTACTTTTTTGTTGTGTAACCTGAAATTTTTGTAAAACTGTTAATTTGTATTTTGTTGAATATAAGAATCCTTCACTTATAGTTTTATTAAATGTCATATTTAATAAGAAGCTCAAGAGTTGTTTTTGAGGATTTTAACAAATGTATATAAATTTCATGTATGATTAAAGAAATTATATATATATATATATATATATACACATCTGTATATATATATATATACACATCTATNTATATATATATATAAACAATTTTGGATATTTAAAAACCCTAAAAAAAGTCTCTGAGCTGAAAATAAATATATAACTAATTATGAATCTATTTTTCTCTATGGGCTAAACAGCAATTTCAATTTTAAATCTTTTAACAATAATGAATATATCTATAGTATTTTAAAACTTTAGAAAAATAACAAAAATAATAGGGGGGGAAATATATAATACCAAAAATTAAATTATTTATGACTTAAAGATTTAATTAATGAATGAATCAATAATTATGATCAACCGAATGCAATTAAAACTAAAGTCCATCGAGCTTCACATCGACTTTTTGTTTTATACTATATTATTTTAAAACCGGCGTTAGTCAGCTAACACTATTCTGCGTTCACGGCTATTAATGTTTAATTCTGTAGCCTTATAATTTCGAACTCACCCCAGAAGACAAGAGAATTCCTGGATCAAGCATTTTATTTTATTTTATAACCGGCGTTAAACAGGCGACTCAATTTTTGGATTTACGACTACCACTGTTCAACTCCGTAGCCTTGAAAATTTTGAAAAAAATCCAGAAGACAAGAGAACTCCTGGATCAAGTATTGGGAGAAATTTACCTTCATGGAGAACTTTTTGACGTAAATGCGGGAACTAACCTACATTTGCCTTACATGGTTAGTCTGGCGGCAAGGAGACTCTAACCCATGATCCGTCTACCACTGAGGATATTTTAGGTCAGCACTGTTGTCGGTGCAAGCCGAATGTGGAATTTGTATGGGCCAGGCATCGCTGAGATTGGAACCCGGTTCACCTCATTGGAAAGCAAACGCTCTACCCTCTGAGCCATCACTGCTCCTGGATCAAGCATTTTATTTTATTTTATAACCGTCGTTGAACAGCCAACCCAATTTTTTGGGTTTACGACTACTAATACTACGTAGCCTTGTAATTTTGAACCCAATTCAGAAAACAAGGGAAACCCTGGATCAAGTATTGGAAGAAATTTGCCTCCGTGGAGGACTTTTTGATGGAACTAACCCGCATTTGCGTTACATGGAGAGTAAAAACACGAAAATCTACCACGGTTAGCCTGACGACAAGAGAACTTTAGCCCATGATCCGTCCACCATTGCGGATATTTTACGTCAGCACTGTGGTTGGAGCAAACCGGATGCGGAATCCGTATCGTGGATGAAGCATTTGTTCAAACTAGCTTTCTTGGAAGACGTTTTGGTGGAATTAAACAGCAGTTGCATTATATGAAGGGCAAAACTTCCCACGGTCAGGCCGACGGCAAGGGGATTCTAACCCATGATCCGTCCATCACTGAAGATGTTTTACATCGGCACTATGGCCGGAAGCAGAATTTATACCAACCAGCCACCGTAGTTTCTTCTAAACGATTGGTACCATTTTGTTTGGGAAATAAAAGCGGAGGGTGCGCAATGCTCCACTGTCATCATAGTTGACTTTAATCAAATTGTAGGTGTCTAGAAATTCAGCATTAACCTCCATGACCTTTTTGTTACCTACAACTGGATGTTGCTGGAGTGCTTTACTTTACTTTATTATTTAAAATTGTGCAATTTCTCTTATAATTTTCTAAAAAATTAATTTTTTTTTGCTGAAATTAAATCTGTAACTTATTGCTTTGAATGCATAAATAAAAAATTGTACTAAAGGAATTTAATATTAAATTAAGGTTATTAGCTATCTAATTATTATTTATTAGAAAATGAAATTATATTTTCTTCTTGTATGATTCTTTATACCAAATAAAGTTTACATTTAAATCAAACAATTTTAATTACAGTTAGAAAATTATTTCACATCTTTTTTTAGCAAGCGTTTGTACTTGTTTAGTATGCTTCATGGATTATGTTAAAAAATCGTCATGAAATGAACTTTTATTTCAGTATAACATTAAGGTAATTTGAAATTCAGATTATATTAAACAAAAATAAAAAGCATTGGAATGCGAAAATTGAAAAAATATCTAAAAAATTAGGCCTTTAAGTTTTGTTAGTTTTAAATTTTAATAAAAAAATCCTGGGTATTTGTTAAAATTTAATTATGTTTTGGCTTAATTACTTTGCTAAATTAAAAGTTAATGTTTTGATTAATGAATATTGAAGGAAATTAAACCATTAAGTATAAAAGTTAATTTTTAAGCTTTTCGTAGTAAATTTTACCCAATGGTGGTAAAATAATATTTTCATTATTATTAATATTATTTTAATATGCCATTGTTGATAAATAATATTAAAAGAAAAATTTCAAACGAATAATATAAATAAGAAAGAATATTTTTATTTTAGTTGCATGTAAAAATAACTACATAATCGTGTTTTTCTGGTTCGTATATTAATGTATGATTGCATCAATTATTCCATTAATCGTACTTGCTAGCGTATGTTTTGCAATCACTAATTAAAGTATGTCGCAAAAATCAGCGATATGGCTGTCAATTAGAAATGAATTACAAATTACAAACAATGCCAAGTACAAACAAAATTACTAGCAAAGATCGAGTACAAGTCAAGTAAAGATCAGCATGTCAAGTACAAGCAAAGAACAGCGATATGGCTGTCAATTACAGTCGAACTCGTTTATAACGAGCACAAAGGGACCGTAACATTGTACTCGTTAAATCCGAGTGCTCGTAATAAACGGATCCTTAAGGCAGGCGTGCAACCAGAAGAGGGAGGGGGGCTTGGGAGGTCAAATGATTGAGTTTACTTAAAATTTAATTGATATTTGCTTACTTTAATTACATTAATTAATTTAATTAAATACTTTTCTTAATTTAATGACAACTAACGTCCCCAACCTGCAAAAGATTAGAGCGATAAGGGCAATTAAATTTCAGTTCGCGGTTTTTCTTTTGATTTCACGCATTTCTTATCATTTTGAAAAAAAGATAAGACAGAAAGGCTAGAAAGATGAGAAAAAAGATTGTCAGACAGAAAAATATTGCTCGCTAAAACCGGGTCTTGCTCGTTAAAAGCGACTTCTGTTCCATAGACTTAACATTGATCCAACCAAGTATTCTCGTTTCCGTCGGTAAATCCGAGTTCTCGTTAAATCCGAGCTCGTTATAAACGAGTTCGACTGTACAAATGAATTACAAATTACAAACAATGTCAAGTACAAACAAAAATCATTTACAAATGAATTATGTAAAAATTATTAGTAATCTTACTCTACATCAGGTGAAAAGAATATTACTGTTGGTGGAAGATTATTCACAATAGTTAAAATTCCAGTAACTAAAGAGCAAACGGAGGTAGTAAAGAATAAGAGACTAAACCCAAATGTTGGCCATCTAAAAGGAGGAAAAAACTATAAGTGTGAATAACATATAGTAAGTGTTCCTAATTTATATTTATCTTATGTGGCACCATAATCTCTAGTATTTCTCTGATTATTGGCAACACTATATTTATTATTCATTTTGTTAGGTTTAGTTAAGTAATAATTTAAGTAGTGTTGAATAGTTGGTTATACGTTAGGGATTAAATTTAGAATTTTGTATTTTTATGGAAATAAAACCTTAATTGCTTAGCAAGGAGGATCTTTGGGGAGGACCTTTCATTCATTCCTTCGTGGAGGACTTTTTAATGGAACTAACTAGCATTTGCATTACATGGAAAGGACAATCTCCCATCGTTAGTCTGACAGAAAGCAGATTTTAACCGATGATCCGTCTACCTTTGAGGATATTTTAGCTCAGCACTGTGGTCGGTGCAAGCCGGGTGCGGAATTCGTATTCACCAGCCATCGCTGGGATTTGAACTCGGATCACCTCATTGGGAGGTGAACACTGTATCCCCTGAGCCACCATGGCTCATATTTTCTTATTTGTAAATAATGTTTTTTTTTATAATTTTGTTAATTATTTATGGAATTAAGGTTGAAGCCATGCTGAAATACAGAAGTTCTATGCCACGTTCTCAAAAGAAAAACCGCTTGACTGTTTTAACTTCACAGCTATTATGAATCATTATTATTAAACAGCCTTTTACTGTATTTCATATTTTTAGGACCTTGTCAAAATATATATATATATTAGAAATATCAAATCAATAAAAAAAAACTTTTAAAAAAAACTTATTAATATTAGGGTAGCAAATTTAAACAGAAAAAAAAAACTCTTTAAATGCTGGTTAAAATTGAGAGAAGTTGAAATTCAATTATTAGAAAAACCTGTTAGTTTCATACAGTAATCAAATTGAATTTGATGCTTTTAATCCCACCTTTCTTAATGGTGAAACTTTGAGAACGTTTTATTATTTTTTTGATTTTTTATTTCATTATCTTATTGGAATTTTCAAAGTATATATTGATGGGGATAATTGACATTGTGAAACATTAAATATAATATTTTCGAAGAACTGCCTTATGTTTTTTATAACTTACTAACTCTAAACTTTTCATACTTTAAGTACGAATAATCTGAAAGCATTAACTAGACTATTTTAGACTTGAACTGCAATTACGTTATCTTTGAATATTTAACAAAAAGCCTACTTTTACTGTATTATATAGTAGGAAATGTATAAGGCTCAAGCATTTATACCGAGCGACAGGCATTTTTGTATAATCTCCTAATACTATAAAACATGTTTACACTACCGAAAAGAGATCTGCAAAAAAAATCTCATGCAACAGGGAAAAAAATGTTCCGCGGTGCAAACAATTAATCTTGTCTTTTCTTGTTTAGCAATCCATTTAGTTACTAAGTATAGATCAAAGGTAATTAATTTATGTCATAATTTATTCTTAATTTCCAAACAACAAAATTGATAAAATTCCTTAATTTTTTTGCCATTCTCCATTAGGAGATATGACAGGAAAGAAACACATTTCATAAAATAAAAAACAAAATTTAAAAAAAAAAACGTGAGTATGGAGGAAATTTTTAATAAATAAAGCAAAATAAATGCCCTTACTTGTATAGAACCGTCAATGCCAATGGTGCCAAGCAGTAAAAATGCATGTCTGATGCTACGTACCAAGTATGAAGAAGACACTGTGAAATAAATCTCAGAAGTTAAATAAATCTTAAACTGTTGACCAGTAAACTTATTCTGAAAAATATGGAGTTATGTGAAAAAATTTACCATGTTACTGAAGTCCACCCAAGTGTTGATTGGTAAAAATACTTGCCACCACCTTTGTTCACAATTTGAGACTTTTTGCCCTACCATATCTCTCCATAGGGGTCCCGATCCAATTAGAGGTAGCAAAAACATTAAACCTAATGTCGCGGCAACAGGTGGGGTCAACCTACGAAACAAATGAGCTGGTTTTTAATAAAAAAAATAGAATCAGAAATTATTGATTTTTAAAGGCATTTGAAAGGTGGCGATTATAATATTTCATTTTACAGACACTGCTAAGACATCAAAGTAAAAGTGATGATCCATTTAATTGTCAGTGTAGGCAGTCTGGTAGTACTAATTCAACAAATGCTACTAACGACTAGAAATGTAATACTAATTGCGTCTGTACGTTTTGCAACAGCTATTCTGTAAACAATTAAGAGTTAAAATATGCTGCTTCACTTAGAATATACTGTCTATGGGCAGCGGTTCCCAAATGGAGTCCTTAGGGTTCCGTGTAAAAGTTAAAAGGGTTCCGTGAGAGCAAAATGTTTTTTTTTTTTTTTTAACCAGTATTGAATTTTGAAATTTATATTTTGATCCAATCACTATATATTTCATATTTTGATAGTTTTCTTGAAATTATTTAAAATAAAATACCAAAAGAAAATAGCCAAATTAACTTTTAAAAAAATTATAATTTTTCTTACAACATACTGAATTAATTATGAAAAGCACATACATTTATGAAAGTTGCATTAGTATATCCCATCGCTCTTCTCAAATCAAAATTAATTTGCTAATAAAGAAATATGTTTTTTTAATAACCACTTTTGACACTTCTTTTAAGATTTCTATTTAACAGAAGCCGCAATCCACGTTATGTATATACACCAAAAACAAATTCTGAATTAAATGTGAACTGTTTCAGGGGTGCGAATTAAACTATCGGATATGAAACCTAATTAAAGATTATAGATGATAAAACGATGAAAAAAATTCATTTATCTTATTAGGAAAAATAATGTAGTCTTTTCTTAGTTAATCAGCTAAAAAATGTCCCTTAGTACTTTATTTATAAGTTCGGGGTTCCGATGAAAAAAAGGTAGATAATTTAGGGTTCCATTGCTGTAAAAAAATTGGAAAAACAACATTCAGACAAAATTGTTAATTAAAGCGTAGTATCTATTACATTATGAATGAAATAACGTGCTTTTACCTCCATATTCTATGAATGATATGAGATGCATAACTTATATTTCTTCCTGATTTTTCAATCAGTTTTAAATTTGAAGTTGCTACCAACAATCCTCTGGAAAAAAAAAAAACATTTTTTTTAAAAAATGTATCGCAAATAAAAATCTAAATATTAACATTTTAAGCATACCAAATATGGAAGTGAATTGGTTATTATTAGGAAAGTCTTATTTATTTATTCATTGGCTCTTCTATACTCTGTTGCAAGTTAAGAGAAAACCATTATACTTATGGAGAGCAGAACGTTTGTTTGCATCTAGGTGCACGCCAAAATGTTGTTAAAGCGCTAACGTAAATCACTGTCGCTAATTCTTAAAACAACGTTGAACGGTCTTCTTTTTGCTTGCTTTCATCGTGTGAAATGAGAAAAATAAAACTTATTGAATAAAAATTATTGTTTTATTAATAAGAATTTATAAAAAGGATAACTAAAAATTATAGCGAATATACGTCTTTCTGTTTGCATTTAATGATTTACTGATGAAAGAATAATAAATATATTTTGTCTTGCAGACGACTTTTTCTACAGCGATACAAAAGTAACAAAAAATTCACTATCTTGCATTTCATTTGTTAAGGGCATATCAGTAGAAGATGCGCCATTTTAGTGGTCCAATCAAGCTCAATGCTCTTGCAACGCCATATAGTTGTTCCTTTTTCAAGAACGAGTTCTCCTTATTTATCGAAATTAGTCGCCAAATCTAGGATTCCAGTAAGACTACGAAACTAAAACCTTTTTTTAATAATTATATAATACATATCGTAAAAGAGAGCACGAATTAAATTTCTATCCATACGAGTTTAACTTTTAAAATCTTTTATATTGTTTTGAGAGCATATTTAAATAATTTGATAAACTGGAACTATTGTTGTCGTGGATGATTACTTAAATCCTATACCGGAATGTTCTTTTCTTAACTTGCAACAGAGTACAGAACTTCAGTTTACTGTCGATTCTCAGTTTATGTAAAGTTATTATTTTCTAGTTCATATTGATAATCAGACTATTTTCTTTAAATAACAAATGAATAAAATACTATCATGTCATCAAGGATTAAATTCGTAAGATAGATATGTCAACTTTAACAGCTTATTATTTGATATAGGCTTAGCATTTTAACGTTCTATTTGTCTTATTGAAAATTTTATATCTTTCACGTATTTAAAAAAATGATAGTAAGCTCTAAGAAATACAAAAAAAAAATTTTTTTTTAATTATTATTAATTTATTTTTTTTAGATAGGAGATTTTTTAACTCAAGATTATGACCAAAACTCGATTATAAAAAAAGTAAAGTCGTATGCATAACTTGAAAAATATAGTTTTGGAAAGAAAAAAAAAGTGTTAGAGGTTTTTAAGTTTCAGTGGATTGTGAAAGTTTCTATTCTTCGATATTTTTTCTACTAATAAACCTTTGAGCATTTAAAAAAATCAAGTGGAATTTATTTTTCAAGCATCGATGAATGGCCCAACTCTTTAATCGGACTTATCGTTAACTATTTGTGTTTTATCAGATGTAAGAGCGTTGTTTAGATAGTTAAGAAAACAAATCACTTACCCAAGTAAGAAAAAGGTATCCACAGAGACCCAAGCATTGGTTATTATTTGGAAAAAAATGTCATCCATGTAAGTTTTAGCTTGATTTAGGCGTGCTAAAAAAGAATAACTTAAATGAATGAATTAAATTTATAATGATTTTTTTTTATTATTTATAGCATACTCGAAAACAATTGGTCGGGACAGCCCGGTTGGCAGGGTGCTGGACTCATGTTTGTGAGAACGAGAGTTCGTTTCCAGCCAACCGAAGACTCCACGTGAAGTAAATGGTGACTGGTGCTCGTTAAATCTGTCATGTCACAAAGTTCTCTATGTTTCCATAACAAATCAATACCTCTTTGGATACTGAATTGGATCGTTCTTTAGTTCAGATCAAAATTGAGATCTGTGAATAAATGAATGGATATATGAATGGGTCCGCGCCCTATAAACGGGTGTGACGTATAGTGTGGCAGAAGTTGAATTCTTAGCCATAGATGGCGCCAGTGGAAAGTAAGAACCATCGCACCCCCTCTGCCTTAATGGCTGACAAAAACAACTAAAAAAATTATGTTTCTAACCTTAAAAAATTAAGTGTTTGTGCATCAACAACAAATTCTAAGAAATAAAAGGTGGTGACCTTAAATATGCTAATAAGTAAATGCGGACGATATTTTAAATTACGAAATCAGACTGAAAAACATACTTTCACTGAATAAACATGTCTTTTTTTAGACGGATTTGGATTTCTGATTCCCAAAATATAGAGGTAGCCGCAATCTGGAAAATATGGTCCCAATAAATTGTTCAGGAGAGTGCTCCAAAGTTTTAACTCCTTATTGTTAATTTTACTTTTTGAGTGCTTCACCATATCTCGAGAACTTTTTCAGCGAACAGAAATTTTTTTGCACACAATTAGAAAATTCGTTTATCGAAAGATAATTCCGTACAAAAAACAATATTTTGTAAATATTCATTATTTTTTATTATTTCATTTAACAATAGTCGAAATTTTTTTTTAATTTTAAGGTATATAATTTTTTACATCATTTTAAAGTATGTAATTTTACATGGCAAAATACAAAATTTGAACGAAATTGAATTTCAAAAAAGTCAGATATTTAAAATTCGATTTCCGGCAACTATTCGACCTATTTTTCTCAAATTTTGCATTTTGAAATTACAAAATTTAAGAAATGTAAAATTACAACTACACCGGGACACCTATGTCTTGCAGATATTTCTAAAAAAAACCTATGGGTTAAATAAGCCTGAATTTTATACAAATGCGTGTTTCATTGGTTTTCTATGGTGATAATAACATTTCAGTCAAATCGGCTAAGTATCATCTTTTTTACCTTATTTTATTTAACAAAGTCGTATTTTGTTTTGTTATTAGAAAAAAAACTGGTCTTGAAAGGGTTAAAGTTATGTATTTTTTGTTGTTGTTCTGTTTTGATTTTAATGCATTATTCTGTGTTATCTGTTAAGTTATCTTTTTACAAGACAACACAGATAAAAATGTCAACACAAAATTATAAACAATGCAACAATAAAAAATTGTAAATACACTAACATCATTCCTCATAATGCAATTATCGAAGAATTTCTTACTATTGATAAACAACACAAAAAATTATGATTACTACTACAATTGCAATTGTATCAAACTGTGTTTTCTCTAACAATAATAAAATTATTGAAGAAATTCGTAAAATTACTAAACAACAAATTGTAAAAATGTACTATAATGATTATAAACGCATTGTTCAAAAATTGTTGATTCCTTAACAATATAATTCAACAATAAGTCTCAGAATAGCACTATTAAAAAAAATGTACTGTTGATAGACAACGCAGAAAAACTGTATTATATAAAAATTAAATAATGTATTTGTAAAAATTGTAAGTCACTCAAACAATGCTACTCAACAATCTGTCGTAAAATGCAATTATTGAAGAAATCCGTACTATTGCAAAACAACACAGGAAAATTTTAAATACTATAAGATTTGTAAATACTGGAAGTGCAAAAATTAAAATTATAAATATTCTAACACTGCAATTCAACAGTATTTCGTAACGAAATTGTGGGGAAAAAATGCATGCCACTGTCAGACAACACATAAAAAAATATAAATTACATAACAGTCATAAATACAATAAGAATAAAAAATTATAAATGAATCGCTGTGTTCAGTAAAGACTTTCAGTTCCGTTAATAGCAACCCCAGAAAACTTAGAAAAAGCTATTTTCTGCCTTTTCTAATACTACAAAAAATCTAAAAAAAACGTGTTTATGGTTGTATAAAGTCTTGAAAATATGTGGCTGGAAAAAAAAATACGTATAACAAGAAATACATATAACAAGATAAATTAAAAATAAAAGCGCGAGAAAATTTGTGTGTTTATTTTTGATGAGTAGAGTTTTTGTTTTTGAATTTAAGGTTCATACAAACCCGTTACGCGTTTTTCCATAGATTTTGAAAAGTTATTACTGACCCGTTACGGGTAATCTAATTAAAATTTGTTTGGTATATGTGTGGGGTAAAATCCTAGAACAGTCCACCCCTTAGCGACTTTTTGAAATCTCGCCAAGTTGGCGATTATTACTGGAATTAACATTTTTTTTATATTATTAAAAAAGCAATTTAAATTATTAAAAATTCATTAAACTAATTTTTAATAAAATAAAATAAAAAAATAACTTTTCTTTACTCTGATATTTCTCTTATATACCTCGCGACAAAACATATACCAATCAATCACAGTGAAACCTAGTTTGGCAAGATTTCAAGAAATCGCCAAGGGGTTGCTCTATTCCAAGATCCACCCTATGTATGGTTGTCAAATGTAGTGTATCTACCACTACAAAAATACAACTCCAATTCACAAGTATATAAGACATGTTAACTCGATTCTGTGATGGTGTACATTTTCATAGATGAAGGTTGACATGGTCTGTAACTTCTCCTCCCACATTGGTGACCTTCGGACGTGATGTAAACGCGCCTATCTTATCAGAAACTCCCACATTGGTGACCTTCGGACGTGATGTAAACGCGCCTATCTTATCAGAAACTCCCACTTCGATCTGAACACGCCTACTTTAGTTAATAGTCCATATTGAACAGTTGAATTGCTACTTGTGACTGCGACATTATCCACCTCCTCGCACTGTTGCTACTCAGTTTCGATCACACTCAACGTCTGTCTGCATGCACTCGACTGCTAATGGCAACACAGAATCAAACATGACCATGAACTTAATACAGCTCTCATGATCAGCAAAAGTACGGTGATCTTAATACAGCTCTCCCGGTTTCTCCCAAAACACCGATGAACCCACTAGCGGTGTTCGTTCATCGAATTCTATCACAGATATAATTCTGGTGGGGGAGTACTGTAGCGTATCTACCACTACAAAAATACAATACTAATTCACTAGTATATAAGACATGTTAACTCGATTCTATAATAGGGTACCCTCTCATAAATGAAGTTTGACATGGTCTGTAACTTCCCTCCCCACATCAAAGAAGTGTGCTTTTATAAAAAAGAATTGTTTCTTTAATATAGCTTGATTCGTTAGAGTTGGTTACTTCTAAATGCAAAAATTGTTAACATTATTACTAACCTAATCCTTGGCGGTGACCAAATCCATAAGTATGAGCAAGTACTATCCACATTAAACTCAAACATCGAATGCCATTAACAGCTCCGAGCTTGGATTTAGCCCTTGAGCACTTTAACAGCTTTTTCAAGTTAAGAGACAACGAAAAGGCCAGAAGACTTTGTGGAACTCGCTCTGAGAAGGATGTAATTAAAACATTAGTCGTCAGAGTATAACTATCTGGAAACTTACGTTAAAGATAGAACTGAGATAATACATACCAATGTCAAAAATTCCAATTGGATTTCTGGATGTGTAAAGGTCAGCCACTGTGCCAGTTAGGATAAATATCGCAATTATCGAAAATATCATTCTAAACGAGAAAATAATGTTAAGAATTATTTATTATTATTTCGAGTATTATTATTTAATATTAAAAATATTTTTTTTTCGCGAAAGACGTCAATGTGCACATGCCCTGCAGTGGACTGATCGTTAAGACACGATTCCCAGCAGATCACCGAAGTCAAGCATCACTGGCTACGGTTAGTGTGCGGGTGGGTGACCACTTGGATAAGTCTGCGTTGGGACCGAGGGTGTTTAGTGTTGGTCCTCGTTAAACTGTTCTACAGTAAAGTGTTCGACTTCGCGTGCAGGTCGTCGAGCTACCGAAGCTGGGGTGCCATCCCCTCTGCAGAGGATCAAAATTGTGATGGCATGTCTTCGGATCATCCTGAGGGATGTTTCCCAGACCGTCGCCAATAGCCCATTGTGAAGCTCTAGTGCGACGTAAATTAACAACAACAGCATTAATGTGCACATTATCTGGATAATCTGCATATTTATATTTTATTTTATATCCGTCGTTGAGCAGCCGACCCAATTTTTTAGGTTTACGACTACTAATGTTCAACTCCGTAGCCTTGTAACTTTGAACCAATCCAGAAGACAAGGAAACTCCTATTTCAGTACCCCCAGAGGTATCGATTTGTTATGGGAGCATGGAGTCACCATTTCAGTTCATCAGTCACCATTTACTACGGTCGGCGGGGATCGAACCCACAAACACTTGGACATGAGCCCTGCGCCCTACTGACCAGGCTATCCCGGCCTTATAATCTGCATATTGACTGATTGCTCTACCGATTGCATAATGACTGATTTTATCCATTAAAATCCGGAATCAAGAGTTTTCCGCATTTTATCTAAGACAGTCGCGGTGGCTTAAGGGATAGAGCGCTCTCCTCCTAATGAGGTAAACCGGATTCGAATCCCAGTGGTTTCTGGTCTCAGCTCCCGGCTCGCAGTGACCACAGTGCGGACGTAAAATAGCCTCAGTGGCAGACAGATCATGGATTAGACTCTCCTTTAGGTCGGGTTAACCATGCAACGCAAATAAGGGTTAGTTCCATCAAAAAGTCTTCCAAGATGGCTAGTTTGTCCCAATGCTTAATACATATAACGGATTTCACACTTTAACGGTAACATACATAAAATAACTGAATTAATACGAGTATTACATATGCTTTTACGGTGGTGTGCTGTTTAGTAAAAAAAAGTATTTAATACTATAAATACCTATTGATCGGATATCTACATATTCACATATATACAAAATCATTTTGACAGATTAATATTTAAATACAGAAAAAAAAAAAATTTAAAAATTATACTGGAACCTGAGATTTAAGAGATACTAATATTGAAAATATAAGACAGTTTTTAATTATATTAAATTTGGTTGTCCATATGCAAGAAATGTTCAAAACTAAATGCATTTCCTAACATTTGATTTGGCGTGTTTTGAGTTAACTGTTTTATTTTCTAATATTTAAGAGAGTTACACAATTTTGCTCACTTAAATCTGATTGAATCACCATGAAAAGAATTTAAATACTGATACATTTTCAATACTATCTTACAAGCAACAAAAATTTTAATTTGAAACCCAGTTGAATATTTTAAAATGTATACATAGGAAAGGGAAATCAGCCCAGACTTACATAACTATGTATTGAGGTATTGTCAGATGAGTTACTTCCTTCGTCTCACAGTTTCTCACCGAAACTTCAACTGGAGCTGTCTTTAACACTGTAAAAAATTTCAATTATTTGATTGCAGAAAGGAAGAATTGTAAGTCGATGAAATGTAATTGAAAGCACTGAAAGTCGCGAAAATTGTCTTAATGAGTTTTAAACTTATTTAAAATTTTCGATATAAAGTAAACTGAACAATCAAAAGGTAGGCCTGCTCTTATTAACTGTAAAATAAGGAAGGCCCAACGAAAGGAGGCAACCCAATGATACCTATCTTAATCTAATTAGTGAAGAGATAGAAATATCAGAAAATAGTTTACGAATTAGCGCTTTCTTTTGAGTTTCTTTTGATAACTTATTATCTTATGCTCATAAATGAACATAGCATGTTTTTAAACATTGAAAATTTAATGTTTTTTAAAAAATGTTATTTAATATGCATTTCTGGACGGGATAGCTTGGTTGGTAGAACGTTTCATTCGTGTTCGTAAGAACGGAAAGTATGAATCTGGCCGGCAAGAGAAACTTCGTGTTTTAAATGGTGACTGGTGCACGTTAGATATGTCGGGGTCATTGAGTCCTCCAAATCACCCTGACAAATCAGTACCTCTGGAATACTGAATTGAAGATCGATCTTTCACTGGTTCAGGTCAAAATTACGGTCTGTGGATGTATGTACGAATGGATCCACCCTGTAAAATGGGCTGTGATATGTGTGTGGCTGAAATTGTATTCTTGGCCATATTTGGCGCTACTGAAAAACAAGAAACGCATCCTCTGCTTTAAAAATCACTTAGCTGCTCAAGCTGTTATTGGTAAGTGGCAGTAGAAACAACAACAGTATGTATTTCTTCGAAATTCCTCAAACTACATCTTACAATTGGGTTAAAATTATCTTATATTGTTGGTGCCGCAATAATAATTATGTAAATGTGAGTAAAAAGAATTTTATGGTCAAATTTACTCTTTGACGCAGAATTTTAATTAAACATATTTTTAATTTTTCTTCTTTATATTTTATTTCATTATTTTGAATTAATTTAGGTCAAAATAAGTGAAAAATATTATATTTATGATTTTAATAGTTAATGATTAGGAAATACAGTATAAAACACCAGTGTTTTAGAGTCTTTTTCCGCGTTAAAGGTAAAATCTTCCAAACACAGCTTACTTCTAAACAATATTTTTTTTTTAATTTGCAGTTATTTAGATCTAAGAGAAACAGTAATTCATCATTGAAATTTATTTAAGTTACGAAGTTAACTGTAGGTAAATTTTTGAATATGAATGAAAAAAACTTTAAACTTTTTTTTTGGAGTTCATATTTTAGTGAAATTATAATTCCGATAATCTACCAGATGTTTTATAATAACTATTAGATTGTTTTTTTATAATTAAAAAACGCCAGAATATACTTTTGCTTGTCAATTCGCTTGGTGTCTGGGCAAAATATGTAAAAAAAGAACACCTGTGTCCCATCTGCATTAATGGTTTAAAGTCTTTTTTAATCTCTAAATAAAATTAAAAAGTACTCTCTTTAATTTTTATACTTGAAAATAAATTAGAAAAAATGACCTGCACTTGTTAGTAATTGGGTTAAATTTCAAATCAAACTTTAACTGGTTTATAATTGTCTAGACGGTCGATTCTTAATTAAATTCTGAATTTCAAGCAGTTAAAAATCACGTGTTTATACTTTTCAGCAATTAAAACTTAATTAAATTGCCATCATTTTTTTTTAAGTGCATGTTATTATATTAAGAGCATTAGAATCATTTGTAAATATTCTATACGCGAGTAGTGTATTACTAAATATTTCTTACCGATGATCAAAAATAGTTAGTAAATAGTTCATTAACTAAAAGAAAATAGCAAAGATAAATTACAAATACAGAATAAATTGTTAAAGGAATGACATGGAGTTGTGAAACTTAATTACTTTCAACTTTAAAAACGACATCATGGGCGTCATTTGTAGGTCATATGCTAAGTAAGCAAAATTAACAAAACTATGTAAATATTTTACATATTTTTTGTTTTAGTTTCATGTCAAAATAGAACTAATTGCTAACATTACAAAACACCCTGTAATAGGCTGTATAAGAAAACCCTTTTTTTACGAAATTCAAAATTCGATGGATTCAAATCGATAAAAGGTTATTACTAGACGTTCCATTTACATACCACTTTGTTTTTCCAAATTCAAAAACAATTAGGTCTTCTGAAATGGGCTTAAACTTTCCTTTTTCAAATTAAAAACGTTAATTTAAAATTTCAGAAGCGCAAATGTTGCTCAACTTTTAGTTTTAAAGTTAAAAAATTTTAAGTTCATGATGTAAGGCATATATATATATATATATATATAGTTTCGAAGTCCCTCAGAAATCCTTTCCCACAGACACATCTTCATTTTCTTGGAAACTTATCTTTCAAACTGCTAATAATCACACCTTTTCTCTGGGGAAATATCTGACAAAAGCCTGAGGGACAGAAAGAGACGCAGGTCCTCTTCTTTACAAATTCTTTTTATGTAATGTGTTTATCAATGACTTATGTGATCACATAATTGCTTTTTGAAATTTTCAAGCAAAATGAAAGAATAAAAATAAAATAATTTTTTTTAAATTTTTTCATCTTTTTTTTT